TTATATAAAGAGTCGGCTTCTTTGAGGTGAAAAGAGCCGACGAAGGGAAAAAAGTTGGTAATGGTTCGGCCAGATTATCCTTTCAGGATTATATAGACGGGGATAAATAGGAAAAGGAAATCTAATTTGTTGAAAAATTAGACTATGTGAAAAATGTTTGATGTGTGGAATGTGATGAGATGATATATGTATGTTATCTATAGTAATAACATATATATGATTAAGGATATTGGCGTACCTGCGACTGAGTTTACATGTGTCTGTTCTATAATTGATGCTGTGTTTATCTCTGTTGATGTAAACTATTTCTAAAAAGTTTCGTTTATGTTTGTTTTGTTCTGTGTGTAATATTTTTGGATTGTTGAAGTCGAAATTGTGTTTGTGTTCAAAATGGTGGGTAGCGACTGCTGTAAGATTTTGTTTGGGTTTTTGCAATCATAGATATGTTGCTTTACTCTCTTATCCAGATATTGATTGGGCTGTAAGACCGATGGAAGTTGCCGGACAGTTTAAACAATTGATTTTGTAGATTACGTCAGATTTATTTGTTATTGGTGTGGGATCTTTAATTTTGGAAAAAAGTGTTTGAATTGTTTTATAATTTTTGAAAGCTATTTTAAAGTTATCGGACGAGAGAAATGTGTTTAATTTATGTAATGGGCCGTAAATGAATGGCATGGAAATGTATGTTGGTTTGTTTTTATTTGATAGATTTGAGGTAATATTATTAGTAATAGTGGATGGTATTAGTGTTGAGTTGTAGTTGTTTATTATTCTGTTAATGATGTGTTTAGGGTAGAGATTGTTATGGAGGATCTGTTTGTATATCTTTATGTTCTTGTGGTGAAATGATTCATGGCTCAGGGTAATCATACTGTGAAGTAACCCTTTGGCCGTGTTTATTATTGTATGAAGAGGATGGTGAGATGTAAAGTTGAGTGATCCGTGTTTCTTGGTTTTTGATACCAATCTGTGATTAATGTGCCATCTGGTTGTTTTATTACGTTTTATTACCAAAAATTGTATTGTTTTGTTGTTTTCGATTTCATGTGTACATTGTGCGAGTGCGGCATGTTGGAGACGGTCGAGCAAGTGGCCCTTGTATGCGAAAAGTACACAGTCATCTGGACAAGATGGATGTATGAATCTAATGTTGATAAGGGTAGCATGGACTCCTTACGCCACGTCATATCCAGTCTTGATGGGTACTTGGCTACCAAAAAAATGAGGAAAGCCATCATGAGCCCAAAAGGATGGCCAGCCTAACATGGGCTAGTGCCTTCGCAGAGTGATGCCTCTGATTAAGAGAAAGAAAGAAACATAAAGTAAAGAAAGCCTATTAAAGTCTATTCCTCCTCTTCCTAAAATCCCGAGTGAGCCGCCTCCGCCCATCCTGGATACAGTTCCATTCTGTGACTAAGAGCTCGTCAAGAGGAAGGACATGCAACCGTCTAACTAATGAAAGAAACAACACAGCTTCCGTCTATAAACCAAAAAGCTTTATAGGAATGCAAGCCCAGAAGCTGCAAAGAGCCAAATATGGCTTAGGTGCTGCAAAAAAATAAAGGCACTGTTTCCCACGAACCAGGAAAGCATAAAGTTGCAATTGTAGGACAACCGATCAAATAAATAACTAAAGTCGAATATTTACTGATGAAGGGTTGTCACAAGGGCAAAAATACGTGACGACGTGGGACATCATAAATTGGGGTCGCGTCAACCAGGAGCGCAACACCTGTCTTCGCCGGTCCACCCTCGGCGTGGGAACACCCCCAACTTTTGATTTCCCCTTCCGCCCCTACGTCGGTAGAGAAACTGGTATAATATGGATGATTTGGAAATCGAAAATCAGCCAAGACCAAAGACTCACCCCAGGCAGTCACCATGGACGCTAATCATGGCGAGCGTCGTTTGGGGTAAGTCCCTTCGTTAACAGACTCAATCCAGATTTAGTGTCGTGGCTGACTTTTTAGACTGACAAAGATTTTGTTGTTGTTTTTGTGTATTTAAAATACGGAATTGTGTTGAAATAAATGGTGTAGAATATACTCTGGTTTATTAAATTCTAGAACCCTTAGCTGCCCTTACACAAAAATAAGTAGCGAAGCACTTTCCCCGACTACTATCTTATATATCGTTTAGAGAAAAGCAAACGAATATAAAGAAATTATTCGGCAGTCGCCACTTAAAATATATTGGAAATAAGGTCGTAAATCTGACGGGTCGCACACCCAGTGGGGTTCCCATAAACCTGGACGTCAGAAACGCAGACGAATACATAAAGACAGTCGAGGAGTTATTTACTAAGATAGTGTAATACAATAAATATTTATGAATATATCTGTCTGGTTTATTGTATTTTTGGGACCCTAACTTCCCCTACAAAAAGTAGTTAAGCTCGTACACTGAATGTTCTCTTATCGCTTAGCGATAAGCATACAAAGCATCGGCGACCGCCTACACTAAAAGATTTCGTTTTTCACTTTTACATTGTATACGCTACATATATAAAAATATTTTTTGGGCCTAAAGGAATTCACTAAATAGAAAATTGGCTTGCCTGAAAAAAAGTCATGATAGGCTTTTATATAATACAGCTGATTATTATATCTAATTTTTATGGTAATGATATTATACTGGCTTAAAAACCATTTCTACCCGATTAAATATTATACCACTTGTCCTGCTGCAATATTTATTATTTGATTTAATTTTTGATACTATGTATTGTAATAAAATGACACTTTGTTTTGACGTTTTGGCTATTGTTAGATTCATTCAAAATACGATTTAAGAAAAAGATAAAATTAAAATGAATTGGGAAGGTTGATTCTTTTTAGCCTTCGTTGCTTTCAAGGGAGAGGGATGTCCCTCTTCTTAAGATCTCCACCGTCAGCAGTTCGGGCATCATTATCTCTGAAATGCTTATCTGTTTAATTTTCCTGTCTGGCTGTCAAGAAATTGTTGTCAACATATTGTGATTGAAAAGCTAAAAGCTTCTCAGGAAGTAAATTGTTAGCAATAGAATTTAATGTGTCGATAAAATTTCCGCTTAGGGCCTAAGCCGTAAAGTTTACACCTGAGTGATAAAGATAGTTGGCAAAGGTGGATGGTTGAAGAGAAGTCCGAAATCATATTTATGGATTACACTGCAGGACTTAATTTCACTACAGTGCTAACAGATGGCAATCTGCACCTGCCAAAGCTTTTATACTAGAAGTTTTAATAAATTATCGTAACCAAAAAATTAACTAATCGAAGAATAGAGACTAGAGTCTGGGATAGCCTTGCACTTGGCCATAAGGTCTTTATTTATGCTTTTTAAATCTGAAATGAACAAATAACTTAAATAATAATTAATAAAAGAACGTAATTTCATTCTAAAAAATACATTTTTACCGAAAGATACGTTTCAAACTTAGGAAAGAAGTATAAGTAAATTTATTTAAGGGATAGTAACGTGTTGACTGTTGTTACTTTCTGCAAATGATGTTCAATTGTGTGTTCTTGATTTTTCTGAAGTTCCGGCGGTCTCCAAGAAAAATGGTTAGGGATTATTTAAGGTTTTGAAATGTATAGTTTTCTTTTTAGATGCATTCTAAGGCAGTTTAAGCCATTTTTATTAGCCCCGACAGGCTGTTGTACTGGTTTTGTCATTGACTTTTCGGTAAAAGACGATGAATTGTTATGGTTTGGGTTCTTTCTTTTGGTTATTCTACGGCCTTAGAATTTCTGTAAGCATTTTTTAAAATAAACTTTGGATTGGATTTGTGGACGGATGGCTACGGCGATGAAAGACCCGTAGGGCCGTCCATTAGTCACCACAGACCAAAGGTTTCGTCATGAGCCTATGACCTCACAGACATTGAAAATGTATTAGGAGGAAGATTAAAGTGCCTCGAAATCCTAAATAAAATAGTACATACGTTGGAAAAGTTTAAATAATCGTCTAAACTATTGACATTTTTTAAATGGACAGTACACTTGATTTATACATCCTACTGCAAAGGTTGTTGGATAGTTAAGTCCAAATTCTTTTGGAGTTTCCGCAAAAAAAGTATTAAATAATTAATTGAATAATCTTCACTTATTATCCATTATACTTTTATTTATACACCAATAAACATAAAAATCAATGGTCTATAGGAATCAAAAACATTTTTTTTTACAAATCTTGGACTTAGTTAATGGATTAGTTAATGAATTTTGCCTTCCTTGCAAAGGGTGGGGGATTGTATTGTTGATGGATTTTTCTAGAGGTTCAGAATTTTATGCAAGAAGCATAAATGAACTATTAACTAATTTGTGAGTAATTTCTTCTTCACATTCAAGGAGTTTCAATTATCCTTTTGAACATATAGTTTCACAGAACATAAATTCTGCATGAATTATGAACGCAACATTGACATGGAATATAAGGAAAACATTGGATTTTGCAAAGGACTTTGGATTGTAACGGTCTGTTCTTTCTTCTGGTTGGCCTAGAATTTTTGGAAGAAAGCAAGAATAAAAAATGAAGTAAGTGAAGAGGAGACGTCTCCCTTGAAGATTTTTACTTCACGGACAAAATATTAACTTTTTGAAATTAACTTTAGACATAGGATTTGTGTATGGATCGGCTTTCCTGAAAATAACGATGAATTGTAACAGTCTGGGTTTATCATTCTGGTTGGTTTATAGTTTTTGGATGAAAACATGAATAAAACATTAAGCAAATAAGAGAAGTGCTCTCTCTTGAGGATTTTCTATTCATGGACAAAATATTAGCTTGTTAATAAATAAACTTCGAACACTAGATTTGTGGGTGGATATTGACTTTTCTGGAAACAACGATGAATTGTAACAAACTGGGTCCTTTACCCCGGTTGGTATAGCCAGACCATTTGGGCCTGTGCCCAACCTGCCGTCCAATTGGTCACCAGAGACACCAAACCTGTCGTCATAACCGATGACCTCATACTACATCCAGTACTTATGCTCTAGCTTCGGCAATCTGGCATTGTTACTGGAGGTTTCTCAACGTACAACGAAAGCCGTTGATTAGTGTTACTATTGGCCGTCTTTCGGCCTCCATCCTCCTAACGAAGTCAACCTTTTTGATTATTTCGTTATGAAGTTCCTTTCTATACTTTTTTTAACGCTGGTCGGCACTGCCGTCTGCAAAGAAGACACTCTCGATGAGGTGAGCGAGGAGGAGCTGCTGTCACTCCTTCGCAACGAGAAATATGTTATCGTCCTCTTCAGTGAGTACATGCCACATCGTCATACCGGCTGAAATAATTCATAATTAAAATTATTTCTTATTTAACAATTAACTGGAAAATAGTTTTTAAATTTTGTCAGCTGCTGGATAATTGCTGACAACCGTGTCACACTGTGACATGGCTTCATTGTTTCGGCCATATACGCAATGGATAGCCTTTGACAACAGGACAAAATGATATGCAAAATAAATATTTGATTTGACAAAAGGTTTCATCAAATATTCATGATTTTATATCCTCTTCAGAGTACATGCTACATCATCATTTCGGCTGTAATAATTCATAATTGAAACATTTTCATATCACTTAATTGGAAAATAGTTTTTACATTTTGTCAGCTGCTGCATCATTGCTGACAGCCTGTGACATGGCTTCATTGTTTCGACCATATTCTCAATGGATAGCCTTTGACAACAGGACAAAATGATATGCAAAATAAATATTTGATTTGACAAAAGGTTTCATCAAATATTCATGATTTTATATGCTCTTCAGAGTACATGCCACATCATCATTTCAGCTGGAATAATTCATAGTTGAAACATTTTCATAACAATTAATCAATTGGAAAATAATTTTTAAATTTTGTCAGCTGCTGCATCATTGCTGACAGCCTGTAACATTGTTTCGGGCATATTCTAAATGGATATCCTTTGATGAATGAAATGAAATATTTAATTTGAGAAAAGGTTCCATCAAATATTCATAACTTTATGATTTTAAATAAACAATACGCAATTTAATAGTTAGGAAGAAAATTTATACAAATATGAATATTTATATATAATCAAAAATGAAAAAGAATGCAGTTAACAACATTTTTCTTTATACTGATGAAGATAGCTTTAATGAATGAATAATCAATACATAAAAAAATAATATTTTTTCTCTATTTCTTATGGATGTCCTTTGACAAAGTGATTAAAAATAAACAATTATGTTACCATTCTCTTCAGAGTACATGCCACATCATCATATAGACTGAAATAATTCATAATTAAAATAATTGTAGATTTAATATCAATTAACAAATTAATTTATAAATAGTGAAATTTTGTCAACTGCTGCATCATTGCTGACAACCGTGACATGGCTTCATTGTTTCGGCCATATTCTCAATGGAAATCCTTTGACAACATGACAAAACGATATGCAAGAGAAATATTTAATTTGAGAAAAGGTTCCATCAAATATTCTTGATTCGATGATTTTAAATAAGTAATCTGCAATTTAGGTAGTTTTGAAGAAAAAGTTATTTCAAATATGTAGTTAAACACGTTACTTTGATTGGTAATTGGAAATTAAAAAGTTCAAAGTAAATTTATCAACGTGTTTTATCAAATCCTACAACAAACAATCATTTTTCTTTATACTGATAAAGATAGCTTTAATGAATAATCAATTTATAAGAAAAATAATATTTTTTCTTTATTTCTTATATATATCCTTTGACAAAGGACACAATTGCGTACATTTCAAAAATGTTCTACCATTGCCAGCTGTTGCATCATTGCTGACAACTGTGACCTCTGTGACCTGTCTTGATTGTTTCGGTCATATTCTCAATGGATATTCTATCACGACAGGACAAAACAATATGCAAAAGAAATATTTAATTTCAGAAAAGGTTCCATCAAATATTCATGATTTTCTAATTTTAAATAAACAATCTGCAATTTGATAGTTTGAAGAAAAATATATTTCAAATAGTTAAACGTATTGTTTTGATTGATAATCAGTAATTAAAAAGTTGACAGTAAATTTATCAACATGTTTTATCAAATCCGACAACGAACTATCATTTTTCTTTATATTGATAAAGATAGCTTTAACAAATAATCAATGTATAAAAAAAGAATATTTTTTCTTTATTTCTTATGGATTTCCTTTAACAAAAGACTCAATTTCCAAAATGTGTTACCAAAATTCATATGTATAATGATAACACACAAAATTAAAAAAATAAAATAAACAATTGTATTATCATTTGCTTTAGGGTATTTGCCACATCATCATATTGGCTGACATAATTCATAATTAAAATATTTTATATTTAATATCAATTAGTTTATTAATTGCTAAATAGTTAAATTTTTCCAGCTGCTGTACCTTCCTGACAACCTGTTACATGGCTTTTGGCCATATTCTCAATTGATATCCTTTGACAATACGATTTAACTATATGCAAGAGAAATATTTAATTTGGGAAAAGGTCCCGTACTATTCATGATTTTATGATTTTAAATAAACAATATGCTATTTAATAGTTTAATATAAACATATGAATATTTATATATAATCAAAAATGAAAAATAATGCAGTTATCAATATGTTTTTATAAAATCCTATATCGATCAATCTATTCTATAATCTTTTTTTATATATTTATGAATATGCATTTAACGAAAAAACAATATTTAAAGCAAAGTATTATTTTTCAGTATTACCAATGGATGTCCTTTGACTAGAAGTCACATAAGTTAGTCACTAGAAGTCATATGCATACATACCAAATTTCGCTGTTCAATGATAAAAATAAAACTTGTGAAATTAATCAATCACATACATGCACCATATGATGTCATAATATTCTTATTAAGTTTTTTACCGTATTCTTCAATTATCTATATTTTTTTCTTTTTATCAATAAAGATATCTTTAATAAAAAAAATCAATATATAAACTTTAATTATTTTTTATTGAATGTACTTTGACAACTATGCTTAAATTACAAAAAGGTTTTATGAGTCTCACTGATATTATGTTTATAATATATGTGTGGTGTTTAGTGACCGTTAGTTAATGACGAGATGCTGTCTAAATGTTTTTCTAATACCAGACCGCATCTCACGATCTTCAAATAATTTTTTTTCCCACATATAAAATATGTAATTTTACCAAATGAATAGATTTTGAAAACTTACCATATAGGAGTCAGCTTTGTAATGTGCCTACTTTTTTTAGTATGCATTTTTTACTTACTAACAAAGGTCGTGTTGACTATAATTATTAATAAAGCCAGTAAGACATTACCATGAATTCCATTCTTTCGTTTTTATCTAGGCAAGCATGGTTGTTCAAAATGTGAAGAGCTGGAAACCCTTTTAGCCCATATGCGTGAAGATCTGGTCGAGACTCTCAACCCATGGGTCGTTAAAACTATGAACTCTAACATGGTGAAGCTTTACAGCCCAGCCAAGGAGCCAGCTTTAGTCTTCTTCAGACACGGTGTTCCGCTTCTTTACGATGGTGACTGTTGAGACAACCATATATTTCACAAATAAATTTCACAATGATCTAAAGATTGTTTAACTAAATTATTATTTTAAAGGTGAATACAATGAGGACATAATTTTACACACTTTCACTGAAAGCAGAGAACCGCTTGTAAAAGAGTTGTCAGATAGTAATTTTGAAAGTCTCACACAGGCTTCATCTGGTGCTACTACGGGCGATTGGTTTATCATGTTGTAAGTATTATTTTAAGATATCAAAAGAATTGATTTACTTTTTTTTTTATTTTTTATTTTTTTAAGCTATTCAAATGACTGCATAGACTGCCAAAGACTGCAGGCAAGGTGGGAAGCAGTTGCTGGCAAGCTTAAGACAAGACTGAATGTTGCTAGGATCAACAGGAAAACTCAAGGAAGGAAAACATCAAGGCGATTTGAAATCATAGAAGAGCCTACATTCCTATTGTATGAAAATTATATGGAATTTTATATTTTTAAAAATCACATTTTTTTATTACTTGTTTTAGTTTCCGCCTTGGGAAAATGTATTATTACAATATTCCAAAATACGATGTAGCGTCGTTTGTAGCTTTTGCTTCTGATTGGTACAAGAATGCAAAATCTGTCCGAGTGCCACATCCAAAAACTCCATTGTACGTATTTGTTACATTATTAAACTGTAATTAAAAAATAATAATATTTTTGTTTTGGTTTTTAGTGATGATTTTACTCAAATGATAGCAGATCTTATACGGGAATATGAATTAGCTGTCAAATCTACTGGAATGGTAGTAGCGCTTTGTGTCCTCGTGCTTGTTGTACTTAAGAAGAAAGGAAAAGAGGAAGAAGAGCCAAAGAAGAGTGAAGAGAAGGCCAAGAGCAAAGATAGTTCTGATGAAACCACTAAAAAACTTAAATAAACTTAAAATATATATATATAATTTTCTGAGAAAAAATTACATTTGTTAATATATTTTTTTTTAATTAGTGCTTGTTTTTGGTTTTATTTTCCTCTGTCCATTTATAGCATTAAAACAAGATATCTTATCATGATTACTTGCAGACAAAAATGGAAGTTATAAATAAAATTGTTAATTTTTTTTTTTTAATATTGACCAAAATATCAGTATATCAACCCTCGGGGTGTTGGTGTTTTTAAAAAACTACATTTCTAAATATGCTGGGTTTGAATGTAGAGTCACTGGATTCGAACCCGGGACCTTTACCTTACAGTGATGAGCACTTTGTCAACTCTTTAACCATTATTTTCATCAGTTACTGTTCTGCTGGAATAAGCAGAATTTCTTAATTATGTGCAATGGGAATAGGTAGAACAGAATTATCAGTGATGATCAAGCAGCAAATTTATTTTAAAGCTTCAATTTCATTGTTATGTACAGTGGGAATAAACCGAACCGAAATATCATGCTGCACATTTAACTTTTCAATTTCTTAAGACTGCACAGTGGGAATAGACAGGACCGAATTATCGGTGATGATCAGTTGGCAAATTTATTTTAAAGTTTCAATTTCTTTATTCTGTACAGTAGGAATAGACACCTGAAATATCAGTGATGTTCAAGCTGTAAATTTAATTAAAGCATCAATTTCTTAAGTCCGTTTAGGTGGAATATGCAGACCAGAATGAACAAGCAGCAATTTTCTTGACTAAGTGCTTTCAATATACAAAACTGTGTAAGCTAAATTTCTGAAATAACATTCATCGCAAGTGATGAGTAATTTTTATTACAGGTTTCATTGTAACTTTTAGCAGCAGGGTGAAAGGAAGTAAAGAAAACAAAGTATTGTTGAATTAAATTTTTAATAATTTTGCTCTTTCTCTATAACAATTTGGCGTTACTATTTACAAAACAGAAATAAGCAAAAAGGCACTTTGTCTACAAAATATGTGAAACTTCTATTTAGCCTATTTTAACAGTTTTTTTCTAAATGTAGAACGACTTTTAATTCTAACAGGTACAATTAAGAGAGTACGTTGTAGTCACAATGCGTATACATCACAATAAGCTTATAAGAATTTATTTATTGGTCTTTTTAAATCTAGTACCTGGGTTTTTTCGATGTATGCGTACAAAATGTACTTATCACCATTTAAATTTATAAATAAAATAGTGAGATCTGTAAAAACTATGTTTTATCGACAAGTGAACATTAAGACGGATTTGCGATTAATCAATCCTTAGGCCTAAGAAGCTAAGTAGTAAGTCGGACAATGAGGGAGATCTTTTTTTTTCTTTGTCTTTAGCGAATTAAGCGAAAAAAATTTAAAAATTTGGTCCTCCCACTTGCAATTTCTTAATAATCTAATGTCCACTGGGGTGTAACGGCCGTAAAATTCTCTAAACTTAATCTAAATATCAGCTCAAATCGAAAATTTTACTACAACCTTTTTATACAATAATTAACCCTGACTAGTAAAAGAGATATGCTTTTTTTTCCCTTGAATCTAAATCCAAGTAATTTGAGAATATGAGCTTTCTTTAGGGCAAGGGAGACTAAAGTAGGAAGATTTCAAATCCTAAAGAAAGGCATGTAATTAGGCCTTATGTTTTCTATTAATAACTATATTATTTCTAAAGGACTATTTTATAAAATACTCCTATAATGAAATCTTTAGTCAATCTATGTTTATCCTGGTACTCTAAACGTACCCCTAGTATTCTAGCGACTAACGGCCAAACCTAAATCTGCCAATGATTTTGGTCATAGAAAATGAATTCTAATACTCTGCAAAAGAGTATGCAATTTTATTGATTATTTTTTTTAACGCATGACTTTATGTATTTACATTCTGGGTTTAAATACACAACACTATACAAAGAGTATATACACTTAAACCCAGAAGGCAAAACAGAATTTCTTCTGAAAATTAATATTACCGATTGTACATAGTTACAATTGTTTTAAAAACGAATAATTCTCACTGGTCCACTGATTTCTATAAAGAAAATTGCAAATATAAATATTCTAAGATGTAAATTTGTATTTATATACAAGGATAATTTGTATAGAAGTCAGTCGTTTTGAAAACATCGTTTGAAAATTGACAAAATTATTGTTTCCTTGTTAAGGCGTATGCATTTAATGTGATCCTGAAGGATGGCTTTTTATCTAGGTACAAATTCAAAGTCTTACTACATAATAGAAATATTTGAAGAGTGCTGTACAACAATACAGTAGACTGAGCAAAGACGGCATTTAAAAAACAAATCTAATCGAAAGCAAATCGAATTCATCACAATAAATGTCGAACCCCTTAAATTCATATCATTCTCACTAATTGGTGAGAGCTTCAACTGCCGTAGTTAATGACAGTCACAAACAATTTAAATACCATTTTGACGATTGTCATGACATAGAAAACTTTTAGAGCCATTTTGGTCTGATTTTCCTTGATAACAATAAAATTTTGTGTTTTTAATTGACTTTCGGTCAAAGACGTTAACACTTTGAGGTACAAGATGTAGCAAAAAATACAAATTTGTAAATCCTTTGTACAGGATAAGCGAGCGTTCAGCCATTTCAACGACACTAGATAATAAATATAAAATAATGATAGACATAAACAGCAGTAATAATTTGATAAATCAATCTTAAAATCAATCTTCCTGGCTGAATGTTTGTCCAAATGTGTTTGAAGAAAAATACAATTGAAGATAATCTTCAAATTTTTCCTCTGTATCCTATATTTCTTCAGTTTTAAATTCGATCTGTTGATTTTTTTTCTCCAATCTTATATTTTAAATTTTTAACAGATTTCTTCCTTAAAATACCAATTACAAACGAACACTTGATATCGTCTGATTGTATGCATTTTGGTCTGCCAGTAATTCTCAAATTTTCGATTACGGCATTTATGGTGTTTGATCCTCCAATGAAAAAATAATCAATGCAACTGAGTTCGACAAAAAATAGAAAACCATCCGAGCATTTCGATAGTAAAAGCTGTTATGACATTTACCACAATTTTTACCTTTTTATTATAATTTTTTATTTATTATTATTATTATTCACTGAGCGCAAAACAACAAAGTAAAATGAATGAAATATCCTATCTTGATTTTTTCTTGATTAAATTGGTGTTTTTGTAGAGAATTCAATAGTTTAATACAATTTTGTGATCCAAGAGCAAAACAGTGAACTTTCCTGTATTTCTATACAGTTTAGTCATAAATCCCATCTTACAAAAGCATTAAATTTTAACATTATTATTATTAATATAAGCACTACCCTGTTGAATGATTTTAAAAAACCCCTGTAATGTAATGGTGTGTTTAACTTTGACATTGTAGCAAAAAAAATTGAGTATTTAAATACTCTCGTTTAAAAAGAAGAAAAATGCAGTAGTTGTGTTTATATCGATAAATATTTTATTGTCAAGTTATTAGTGATCCCAGATTGCATTCCTTTCAAATGTGCTAGTCTTAGTGCAGATAAATATATCATTCACTTAAGCTTAATCAGTCGATAGCAAACTTTACAAGTTGAGTAATTATTTATTGTTTTATTTCTTTTCAATGTCAACGTTAAACTTTCACAAAATTTCAAAAAATGCTGACTTGTTGAGCCATTGAACGATCGGTTGATGACAATGCACTAGAAGTGCTCTGTAATTACCAGAGTGTGATTACTCTAGTTTGTTTTGTGGCACCTTGCCATTAAGAAACGAGTAAACGAACAACAGATTACTGTTCAGGGCGATCCATTGTGTTGTGTCTGATGGCTGGAGACCTCCTCAGCGGCGGCGACGGTGGTGGATACGAAGCTCCGCGAGGAGGGGCTGGTGGTGGTACCAACGGTCGAGGCGGCGGAGCTAGCCATCTCCGACTCGCCTCTTTCAAATCAGGTAAGGACTGACCAAGCTGAGGCACCACTACCCTCAGTGTATCACTGGCAAATACAATATCGTTTTCTTAATCCAAATAACTTGGAGCTTTTAAAAATAAAAATGACTCACGTATGAGGTATAGCTTCATCTGAGCTGTGAGAGAATGGCCTGACTTCTGATTCTACGCTAAGCCCCCTTGAAACATTGCTTATTGGTGAACATCCTTCAGCCATTTCAACAGAGCCGCTGAAACATTACTCAGTCATTTTTCATTTGATTATATATGCTGTGTGACATTACCTATTCGAATCAGGCTCTACTCTCCAAGTGTCGTCACTTGCTTGTTTAGCCGCATTGTACAGTCCTTCTGCTCTATGGATGCACATCACGAGATTCTGTACGAATAAAATAAATCAATTGATCTTATTTTTTTTTTCATAAAAAAAAACAATGAGATACCTTTATAACTTTGGAATCTGGAGATATAAGAAGGAATGCCGATATTGGCGTTGAGTATTCTGAAAGGTACACACAGGCCAATGTTGGTGTATCTCTGGCCAGCTCCTGAACTATTAATCTATTCACTTGGAATGGGGGACGGATTATCTTTAACTGGGAGCCTCTTGTGTATTTACACAAAAGGAGCATATCTGTCAGAAGTATGCAGTGGACTTCTATCTACAAAAATTAAACTTTTATGTAAAATTGACAAAAACCAGTTGGTTGGTGTATGCATAAATCTTAAGTTTTTTATTTGAACACACACATTAGCTGTTTATTTTTGCAGTGTTTTATTTGTCAGGGCTGCTGAGTATGAGTGAATGAGCCAAAAAGGTCCAGAATAAATAAAATCTATTTAAAGCCTAAATACTTAGTTTTCATTTCAACGCCAATTAACAAAATTAAAAATTTTCAAATATACCCAATCACAGAAAATGGCAATAAGTTGAAATGCAAAGGCTAAAACATTGAAGATAGGCCGATAAAATGATCAGAAACAACCAAAATACAGTTTTATTTTCCAGAAGACATCTAAAAGAAATCTTACTGTAAGCCGGTCCCCTTTTAGTATAAGTTAGGAATAGTGTTAATATAAGTTAAAAATAGTTGTGAAAAACTTATAAAATATATTCTGATGGGTTAAACAAAGAAACACTTCCCACAAACCTGTAAGGTATAGAAACACAACAGGCGAATAGCCCCAATAAATAACAAAAGTTTGTCACAGGTCACGGAAATGGTTCATCACGCTGAGGGTCATCATGAATTTGGGGAAGGGCTTTGTGAACTCTTCACCAGAGGCCCATCAATACGGGACCAAGGGGCTGCGTAATGGAAACTCCTGTGAATTACGAGTTGTTGCATGGCTAACCAGCTCATGACCAATTCTTGCAAGAAGGGAGTCGACTCCTGGCCCAACAGTTATTGCTTTTTCTTTCCTCCCCTCACTCAGTCAATCGAGGGCTCCCACAGCCAGTTGGTGGTAATATATTATTTTTAAGAGCTTTGGCTGCCTTATTCAGATATATTCTTAAAATGATTTTATCAACTATAAATCCATATAATCAAGAAAATGACAAATATATTAAAGTTTTAAAAAGAAAAATACAACATTATAAAACCTTTTGAAATTAGAAAAATAAAGAAAAATCTTTCTCTTTTGTTCCAAATATAAAATGTATGAATACTTGTCACATTTGTTTTCACTTTTTTTTTCTTACTTTGCTTGTATTGTAGTCTTTGAGCTTGACATCAGCCTCTGCGATGAGTTGTCTCTTGTGAAGCGGGTTGCACCCGGGCATTGATTTTTTGAGATCAAGCTCATTGTGGATTTTTATCAATTTGTCCAAGTCGTCGTCTTTGGTTTCCTGGAATCAAGAGATCTTGTAAAGTTTTTACGATGTGAAATTTAAAACAAAAGTAAAATAATTTCAAAACTGCGAGCTAACTGACTTAATCAGGCAAATTATAAGCATACATTTTAATGTGCTGCTAAGAAAAAAAATAAAACAAGTTACAAAAAACTATTTTAAAGATTTCTCCATTAATTTGTTGTAAATGGTGGATTTTTTTAAAGTCAGAAAGAAGTAGTACCTAAGATTTGGAAAGGGTTATCATTTCAAACCTCAATAATTCTTGAGCATAAAAATTTCAACATTTTCAATTTTCCTACCAAATAAAATTTCATTCAGTTTGCATCATAGACTAATTTGTATTATTTTAAAATCATAAATTCCAAAAGTAAAAGGTTCTTTATAAAAGAAAACTGTATTATTTTCAACTGTTGTATGCTATTGTATATTTCTTTTCTTTATGTGTGTTAAGTGTTAAGCATTACAATCTATTTAAGTAATTCTGGTCATGTTGAAGATTTAAAAAGATAAATTAATACTAAATGACATTTAGACCTACTAGACTGAATAAAATAAATTATTTTAATTTTGATCAATTGGAACAACTTGAAAACAACAATTTTCTGCTATTATAAACATTTATTTCATGATAAGACTGGATATTTTTGATAACTTTGTTGTGAAACATTGTGGTGAAGTCTGCGAGGTGTTTTGGTATTTAACCATTCCAGTGGTTAGCCTATGTGTTATTTTGTCAGTCCAATCCTTTTTTATGAGTTTGTAAAATGCCTGTTTTTCCATTGACGTCTTTGTTTTATTAGAATAAGCAGACCAGGATGATCAGAAATGATGAATATTTTACACTTTTTGACCAGGTTAAAAAATTATGCATAAAAGCATGCACTAAATGTGCATTGAAAGTGTTTTAAGATTTTCTATTCCAAAAATCTACACCACAAATAAAGGGAACATAATACAATAACAATAAAATTTAAAAAATCAGAATAAGTGAAACTAACTATAACATCATATGCTTCAATTCTCGACATCAAACTTCTAAGACATTCCATGTCTTCTTTTTGTCTCAGAGTGGTATTTACGTTGTTTACAAATGAATCCATTCGTTCGATCTGAAAAATGATAATAAGATTTGTCACACCTTTAACTACTGCCTACTGTTTTTGAAATTGCTATGAAACTATTTTAATATCGAAATAATATTGAATATATATTTCGATTTTATCTGAAATAAAACATGAAAAGAACTATTCAGTTACCATAATTTCTAAATTTTCTCTCTGCTTCTCTAAAGAAGTGTGTTTCAATATCGCTTTAAGGAGAAGTGAATATTTAGTGAGACGTTGCATGGGTTTTACGAGCATTTCAATAAGTCGCAATCTGTGACAGTCCTTCTGAGTCTCACACCACTAAAAAGAAAAAAAAATCAGTGTAGAAAATAGTTTAACACCTTTTAAATATCACCATACCGCCAAGTAAGCAGTAAACATTTCATTCGACTGTGTTTTCTCTCTGCAGTATTTTTGGCATTCACTTTGTTCAGAGCAGTACAAAACATAAGGGGCAAAAACTTCCTCACACTGAAAAACAATGTTTTAAAAAATTATAAAAATGAAAAAAGTTTTGTCGTACTTTTAGAAAAGCTTCAAGAAGAAAATTTGGGTCGAGCAGGGCTGACGTTTCTCTAGCTGCCGCCAACATAGGAAGAAGGTATTTTGCCCATAGTACGAGATTGCACTTTGAAATGTCCTCTATGTTGCTGAACAAACGGTTTTTCTCTATGTCAGTCAGTAAATTGCACTTCTGTAGGTTGATCAGACAGGCCAAAAAAAGCTGCAACAATTTAAATTCATAAAAACGTAAAAATTCATAAAATATAAACTGATGATGCTCACATCTGTAACCAGTTTCAGAGTGTGAATATAAGCTACTTCGGTTTGAATCAATTCCCAAATTGCCGCCTGCTGATGACTTTCACTGTCAGTTATGTTAAGTATCTTAGATACAATTTCTCTCCAGTCATCTTCAAGTTTGTAAAGAGCTTTTGAAAAAAAAAAAACTAGATAAATTTTTGAATGTTTTAATTTTAGCTGATCACTTACATTCTTCTAAATCCTCATCGTTTTTATTACTTAACTGAGGGATCCCATATTTGCTGTAGTTGTTAAGTTTTTCAACAAGTAACTCCATCTTGCTATCCTGAAAAAAAAATACCATTAAACGAATTATGGCAAAAGGAAGTTCATTTTTTAATTTAAAACTTGTACTTTGGAGTTTCCAAAAAGGGTGGTCCATCGTTGCTTGGTCCCTCTTAGTTTGCTCTCAACTGACAGTGATCCTGAATCAGAAATCCCTGATATACCATCTTCTGTGCTTACGCTGAAAAAGCTCGTCCTCCCTTTACAACTCTATTGAAAAACAACCATAAATTATAAATACATATATTATTTAAATTTAATTTTACTGAGATTACTCGCCCTGGATGTTTTCCGAGAAGGGTGGCCGAAGAGTTTATTTGATTTTGTATCTGAGATGTCCTTTTCTGAAAAATTACCAACAACAACAAATCACTTGCAAAATTCTGTCCGATAAATTATTTTAAACTTGAACTTTTAAATACCTCTAATAGTTATGTGTTTCCCACCAAGCCAGGCAGTGTCGGTCGTCAAAACTGGCAAAGGAGTTTTGTATTGTTCAAGCATGACTTCCACGTTAAACAATTCAACTCCTCTCCGCGTGCAAACAGGGCCCAACGCTTCCCTGGTAAAAAATGAACAGTTTTAATTTCTAACAATTATAATTATTACAATTTATTCCATTAGAACTGACTCTTACGCAAGAGATACACCTTTGAGAGCGAGCAAAAATTCATGGCCGGATGAATCCTGCCCTCCAATTTCAAATGACACACTGAAATACTCTGAACTGTTCACCTAGAAACATTTTTAAGTTTTAAAATGTTATAAAATCATGTTGGGTGATACATAAAATGAAATTTCGAATTAGTTTTGTATTTCAACTTTAATTAATTGTGTTTTAGGCTACTATTTTAAGTAATAAACACATTTATATTTGAATAATAATTAGTATATAATTATAAGCATAGAATTTTTCTTTTCCTTTAATTCTCCATGATTTTTCCATACCTGGGATCTTGCCAAATTGTGCCGCCTCTGTTGGAGCGGAACATTCAAACAATTATCAGGCCTTAATCCTATCTTGTCCATTTGGTTCAAACTTCGACAACGTTTCTAGAAATAGAGGACAGCCATCCATCAGAACCGATATTTGGACTATTAACGAGATAAATTACATGTAATCTTGAGGTAGTCGTAGGTGAAACGGCCAAGAATATGCTCATGGTGGCAGTGATGAAATTCGGAGGCTCAGCATCACCAGGCTGCGGAGTCATTTCTGAGTGCACATAAATATATGATTTATTCTTGATTAAAGCTCAACTTAAAACAAACGTGGAACATTCATTACGCAATGTGTAAACTACAAGCTAAAAAGTGCTCAGAATTGGTCGCAAAAATTTTTAATTCATCGAAATATTTTTGATTTGAAATCATGAATCATCAATGTGACAACAAAATTACAATTTACTTTCACCCAAGCAGATACCAGTTATTTTTCCACAAACCCTATTGATCATATTAATGTCCATTATGATCTTTACAACTTTGGACCCATTAAAATATATATAGAAGCGTTAAAAATATTTTAATATGATTGTTTCTAAATCACATTTATTCAATTAGTTTGGTCTATATGTGACTAGTATATTTTAAAACCATTGTTACTAATCTAGTACTAAAGTACTTTTTTGGCAACTACTAGATTTGATCTTTGGATCTGAAAATCACCTGAAAATCGATCCTTCATAAAAGTACAAATATTAAAACCTAAAACTAGGGTGTTTTTTTTTACAGAATTTATATCAGAACACGAAAATTGCTCTTTTGACATATTTTTGCTTTCAACTTGCTGTTCAGCACTGATTTGAACCAAAATTTCAAATTTTCTATTTGTATAATTAAAAATTGCTGTTTTATCTAAATATATCAAAACTGATTTAAGCAAACTTTTGTCTATTACGAACTATTTATTAACTAGTCTATAAGCAGAAGTATAAAAAGCCTCAAAAAAGCAATAAATGTGTTTTCATGTGCAAGCAATACTAACAAAAGCTTTAAAAAAAACAAGATAAATAAATAAAATGCAAGTAAAACAACTATATTTTGTGATTTTGTTTTATTATAATTAATTCAGCCTTAAATACATTTATATGCAAGCAGCCATCAATTTGTTTCTTACAGTAAGTGACAAATTACATTTTTATGTTTTACAAAAAATAAAATCAACAATAAATAAATCAAGACAGTACATAACGTGATTACAGTTTATTATATTTTGACTAGATATTTTATTTTATTTTTAATTGCTTATAGTGATTTGCTATTCACCAATGTTTTTTCAAGGTTGATAACTTATTAAACACTTTCAGGAACATTAATCTTTTTTAATTTAGCAATCATTTGAAATTTGGAATTTTATTAAATCTTGCCCTGCTTATTATTATTATTATTATTTTTTTTTTTTTTACGTCATTTTATAGGTAAGTAAGTGAATAATCAATCAGTTTGTTTAAATAAAAAACCATATAAGATATGGTGATGAAGACAATCAATCAACTTCAAACAGGCGTTGATGTTATGGAGATCAGGAATGTAGTTTTTTTTTAAACAATGAAATACTGTTATATCTTTGTAAGCTTTTGATCATTTATTTGATCTTCATTAAAGCGCTACAAAAATTACATTCACAAAAATTAAGTTAAAACTGGACGGATGAATATTTTATTTATACAAATATAAGTAAATAACTATGTTGGCTTACAGTTACAATGTAATGTTACTATGTAAAATTTTGAACTAATAAAGTATTATTATTATTTTTATGTTCTAAATGCAGTACTATCAGCCATAAAATCAGTACATGTGGAACACTCGTTTAGCAGACTTGATTTTCACCTTTTGAAATTAAAAATATAAAATATATCATTCCTCATAATTTAAAAAAATGAAATTAATTTTTTTTTTGTTATATTAAAGATTTTCTTTTAATCGTACCAATGTTATTTTGTTTTAAATACATTTTTTTAGACTCTATATTACATATTTAATCAAATCAACCATACAAGAGTATGAAGAAAATGATAAAACAGAAGGAAAACAAAAATGGACAATAATCACATTTGGAGAAAGCTTTTAATTAGCTGAAAAGTTGAAGACAAAACTATAGAATATCATCCAATAGTGGAACGAAACATCAACATAACATGACTTAACTCAAGCAGTGGACACTCCAACAAAATTTCCACCAGTTGAAATAACTACTAACTGTGGAATTTATCTTTTTTAGGCTCCTTATAATTTTTTCTGTTTTGTATTATTCAAGATATTGTTTCCCTGAGTGTTATTAACTTAATAACTAAATATGTATACTTATGTTCACACATAACATTGACGATAAGCATACACGTTAGTGTCTGGTATGCAGTTAGAAGAAAAAACTTCGATGCCTATAATTCAAGGCATTGGCTATTACCCGCGGTGATGCTCGGTGGTGGATAACAAGTGCCTACTGTACATTACCAAATATAGACATATTTTCACTATTTTAATACATAAAAATCTACTTCCTAATTATTAATAATTGATACTCTCATCTTGATATATGCTATTGAAAAATCTAACACAAATTAGTTAACAGATATAAAAATTTTTTTTAATGCATTAACAAATAATGAACTTAATTGTAACATATTTTCAGTCGATGTTTCGGTCGGTTGGTTCCTTAATTTTTACAAAACATGAAACTGAATATGGTGCAGAACGGCGCCTGTAAACGTGCTTGCTCCAGCTGTAATCATCTTCTCAGATCAAGCCGGTGACACCAAGATGTGCTTTCAACTATCGCATGCCCAAAATACAACAAAAGCTTCTAAAAACACATAATAAGCTGCAAATACTATAGTAGAAGTCTTTCATGGAAACTGCAAAGCCAAGAATTTCAACAAGCGGTTTAATAAATAAGTAAACTACTATTAAAACTTTACAACATATGCTGATATTCTAACACTAATAAAGCTCCCTCGGGTGAAAATTTGTTGCGGAGAGCCAAACAATAAATCCATTCGATATGGTAACAAGTGAGCGCATCACCCGTTTAACTTGGTCATATTTACCTGCTAGGAACAGGCTTAGACATCCGAATCATAATTTAATGTAAAATTATTATTACACCAGAGCATATTTTCTAAAGGGAGGGTAAAAGGGTCAAAAAACGAACGGTGCTCGGGGGAGGGTTTTAAATGTCACATGGAATCAAATTGAACCATCTTCTCGGTGCTTTCATCGTAGAACGGAAGGGATGTGAAACGCATAAAATAATGGTAAACTACAACGGCGAAGGGGTGAAGTGAGAAGCACCGAATGTGGAGAGGTCAGCAGTGAACAGCTGAAAAGTTGGAGAGTGGCCATTTTGCCCTTCACCCGTCATCAATCACCTCCATTGAAATGACAATCGTGACAATACAATGACAAAAAGGTCGATATTGATATATTACTAGTCCCGATTGTTGACAAAACGCATTAGAGAGATTCTAAAAAAAATAATGAAAATGGGGTGAAAAACTCCCTCTGGTTAAGGAAGGATCAGTCTATTGGTACACTGACAGATCTAGAAAGCAAGAAAATACAGGGGACCCTGTACATGGGTCCAAAATCAAACACGGCACCTATGAACATGTACATTTTGCACCAAACTTAACCATACTGATTTTAAAGTTCGGTAAATACGCTACAGTTTTCCAGGCTGAAATTATAGCAATTGAACACTGTACCAAAGAAATAAAAAGGCTAGGAACACATTCCAGGAAGATAGCAATTTTTTTTTAGTCAGGCAGCACTTAAGCCTATGCCTTATGAGAGGTAAAGGCAAAAGTATGGAATTGTAAGGAATCTCTGGCAGAAGTCAGTAACAGAAATGACCTGACCTTGGCATGGGACCCTGTGCATTTAGGACAATGGGAAAGTCGACATGTTGGCCAAAAAAACAATATTAATTCCCTAGAGCCCAAACCCCATTGTGGCCTAGCATCTCACCCACAAAAAAGGAAACAAAAAAACCTTAATGAGTTCAAAACCTGGTGGAACAATAACCCAGGCATGAGGCACCTGAAGATATTCATAGAAGGGCCATACGTAAAACTTACAAAGGAATTACTGAAAGTAAACTGTGACAGTACAAGGATTCTGGTTGGACTCCTGACCAGGGAAATGCCGCCTAAGAAGGCAATCCACCGGATAATAGCACAAATAGAAGAACTACTACCAGGACAAAGAGGATACCACAGAACACATTTATGTTTTTGTGAGGGTCTATATAAGTGTAGATCCTTCAACTAAATAAAGGCTACAAGAAGAATCTGCACTAAGTAGCCACTGACAATGCCCCTTTCTCCAACCACAGTGTGCTGAAATTCTGTTCCGGACCAAAGGATGTGAAACCTGCTCATGTCTTTGCTAGTTTATGAATTAGTGGTATTTGAATTTTATCCTTATATTGAATATGCAAACACTCTACAGAAAAGAAAAAATGATGGATAGGTTGCATGTAAATGGGCAAATGGAATAGAATGGTTGGTAGCTTACAGGGTTGCAAGGTAAGTAGGTAGTTAGAAACATAGACTACCAGAACAAGTCAGAAAAGAAAAAAGTTAAAGTAAAGATTAAGGATTAAGAAAAATGTAGAATAGAAAAAGCAGGATAGGTTGTCAACCTACAGCTAAATATTTGATGTATAGGTATAACTATGTGACATTGGAAATAACAGGGAAAGTCAAGCAAGGAGACAAAAATTGTACCTAAGTGACCTGTACATTTTTATATTCACTTTTATTCCAAGCTTTGAACGGTTTTTTAGATGATTTTTGTAAGAAGAAGAAAACTCAGTTTTTAAATAACAGTTTTACTTTAAAAAATTCGCAAGTCAGTATATGAGACTAAAAAGTACATAGCGAAACCAGGCGACGCAATTTGAAATTTGTACAGCAACTTCCGTTTATACTCAGATAAATAACGACAAATACACAGATTATTTAAAAAAAACGTTAAATAAATAAATTTTTAAATCTATTTTAAGTAAAATTTTAATCACTTTACCTTAGGTTAATTCTTGTTGGAAAATAAACGGCAAAACGTTGTGCTTTCTTCTTTTTTAAGTTTATTCTTCTTGAATTAGGTAGCGTTTCAGATTTGGGAAGTTTTTATATTAAAAATCAACTTTTTCTTTATTAGAAAATAGTAATTTTCATTTCATTCATTTTACTGGAAAATAGTAATTTTCAGTTCACCGACTATTGGGTTTAGTCAATGGTTTTATCACTGATTGACCAAGGAGTCAATGACAGGCCGGCAAGGTTAAAAATGATAACGAAGTGTCAAACTGTCAACTGTCAGTGAGAGGACAATGGTCGAGAATCGTTTGCTTGCTTCGTTGCTTGCTGCGACAAAGCGTGGCACCGTGATAGCTCGTGTCTGCAGGGCCGACGACCGCCTCCTTGCTCTCCTCGTCCAGGAAAAGAAAGACTCCGAACGAAATCCGAGGTTCCAGCACGATTTCAAGACGTTGGTCGACGTATTTCTCCAAGAAGTGGTCAAACACGACCTTTCACTCTGTGATACGGTACAAATCCCTGACTTGAATCTTGTCTGCATGCCGATGAACTGCCAACACCAGTTGGTAGAAAATTTATATTATCTTGTTTTGCAATTTACGATTTTCTAATTGGAAAGAGATGCTCGCTGAAGATGGTTTTAAGTTTAGTTATCAGAGATGACGTTCACTTGTGGAACTTTACAGATCCTTGACTTGAGTCAGGTCTGTATGACAATGAACTACCAACACCAGTTGGTAGAATTTATACTATCTAGTCCTGCAACTTATGATTTTCTAATTGGAAAGAGATGCTCATTGAAGATGATTTTATGCTCAGTGATCAGGGATGACTTTCACTTTTGGAACTCTACAGATCCTTGACGTGAGTCAGGTCTGCGTGACAATAAAAGTTGACAGTACTTGGTACGAAGTAAAATATTCAATTTTAGTTTTTTAAGTTTTATAGATATGCACTTTGAATATGGCATTGTGCTCAAGATTGTAGACCTGTCATGCTTAAATCAAAATTGGTCAAATTTGATCGTACCCAAATCCAATCAGGTTTGCATGACAATGAACTGTTGACGTTACATTGTACAACATTTTTTTCTCTTAGATAATCAGTTTTATTTTATTATTATAACGTTAATAGAGATGTACTTTCAAGGTGGAATTGAGCTCAAGCTTATTGACTTTTCACACTAAAATCAGAGCTGATCAATTTTGTACAATGTATCTGTAAAGTTCCACTTTAATTTGAGGATCTCTACAGATACTTGACTTGAGTCAGTTCTGCATGACATTGAACAGTTGACAGTACTTAGTACAACTTTTTTTTCTGAACCTCCAAGTTTAGTCTTTTTTAAATATAACTGAAATTTACTTAGCATGTGTAATTGAACTCAAGATTGTAAACTTGTCAAGCTAAAATCAGGGATGATAAATTTCGTTCATCCTGAAAGCCACTCAGCATGATTATCATTTATAAAAATTGAATTGGTAAATTTTAAACAAACTCAACAGCTGCCTAGAATGGCCATCGCTTGTGGAACTCTACAGATGCCTGACTTGAGTCATGTCTGCATCAACAATTGAATGTACTTCATACAAAGTTTTTCCCCTTAATACTCCTTTTAGTTTAAAAATTGTATTTTAAAGATGAAATTGAACTAAGACTTGATTTTCCCTAAAATCAGAGATGATAAATTATCATTCTCAATAGCTACACAGACAATTGAATGTAATCAAAACTTCATAGTTATATTACAAACAGTTATTTCATTATTTTTGACAAACTTTTAAAAAGGTTTTATACCAATCATAAAATGTGATTAGTAGTAGTGATATTTCATTTTTTCACTTACATTTACCATTTTTTAACAGTTTACAAATTCAAAAGGAGAGGTGTTTGGTGAAGAGAACAATGAGTTTTTAACTGATGAAGGGACCATACTGGTAGAGGTGAAGCCGACCTTGGAGGAGACTACAAGTTTACTCAACAAAGTTGTTAAAGACCAGGACGCCAGTCGAGTGTTGGCCGAATGTGCCCACAACAATGTCGACGTTGATTTTTACTGTGATATAAACCTGGATGTCATTTTACCAGAGAAGATTGGTGTCTGGATTGACCCAATTGGTAATATTATCTTTAACTTTTTTAAAAATTTATTTTGACATGTAATATTTCAGATTCGACAAGCGAGTATATTCAGGGAAGGAAGGACGATCAAAGCGCATTGGTCAGATCAGGTCTTCCGTGTGTCACCATTCTCATCGGTGTGTTCAACATGGACACGGGAGAACCACTGATCGGTGTTGTAAAACAGCCGTTTTTCAAATTTAGAAATGGAAGGTCAGTTTATCTTTTAAAGCAGTTTCAATTTGATATTAACTCTATATATTTTTAGTTGGTCTGGAAGGCTAGTTTATGGATATAACATCGGAGATCATAGAGGGATAAATCAGGATTTTTCAAATATTCCAGTAAACAAGGTAGGAATCTTTTACTCACAATGGTAATTTTGAATTTTTCAAATTCAAATTTATTTTATATTAATATTAACAACAAATAATAATCTTGGTTGTCAATTGATACGCTCTAGAGGCCAACTGCTCAATTCCTTGGTGGTTCCACCCCTTGGATTTGATTTTTACAGAATCTAAGTTTTTACAAAATCCAATATTTTTGCCTTAAGGAAGTGGGTCATTGCTAGGAAGAGGTGGTAGTCTGAAGGAGCATGGTCTGGACTGGGGGTGGATGTAATAGAAGATTGCATCAATTTTTGAAAGGTTTTGCTTTGCATTTGAAAAGTGTGCAGCCGGATTTGTCTTGTTGAAAAGAGATCGAAAGATAATTTCCCATAATACATAGTTAAATAGAGGTAAGAATTGATGAAACACAAATTTTGGTACAAATTTGTAATAAATAACCTCTTTAAAATAAAATAAAAATCGAATGTGCTTTTTTTTTTTTTTTTTTTTTTTACTTTAAATTCAATCTTATTATAATTTAAAAATTGATATGGATATTACATGAATCTTGAAAATGCAGATTGTTGCAGTCAGCTCATCCGAGGACAACCATATTAAAGAGACACTTCAGAACCATGGATACACGACGGTCGAACTGGCAGGCGCCGGATATAAACTCCTCAGCATAATATCCGGGGACGTCTCCGCTTATGTTCTCAGCAAGCCGACGACTTACTTCTGGGACGTATGTGCCGGCAATGCCATTTTAAATGCATGTGGGGGCGGTGTGGTCGACTTTTCGACCTTGGAGCCAATCAAGTATCGAGGCGGTGTAAGCCTCCAGGAGTGCTGCAATGCCGGGGGTATTCTTGCTTTTAGAAATTCGGAAATAAAAGACGATCTTATAACAATTCTAAATTTAAAAACGTCCAAAACTTAACATTTTTACAAACATTTTAAAACACCTCTAGGGAAATTATACCATTAACAGTTTTTATAAGTTGAAAGTTTGCGTCAAGCTATTATTTGAACTTTTGACGTAAGACTTTGGTTGAAATGAAAAAGTTAGTGTTACGAGCAGGATTTGAACCCACAAACTCATGACACTAACTTTTTCATTTCAACAAAAATCTTAATTAATTGAAAGAAGTTAATAGACCTCTAAATATTTATAATGGATTTATTATTTAAAAATTAACTATTGGGTTGTCCGGAAAATAATGCAGGATTTTGGTATTAAACAAAAAAAAAAGAAACTAGTTACTTTAAAGCAATGTTCTTTAATCAAAATAATTTCCCATACTCTCAATACATTTCTCCCAACGTGTTGGTAACTTATTAATTCCGTCTGAGTAGAATTCAGAATTTTTAGAATTGATAAAGTCAATAAATGCATTTTCCAGTTCCGTTTGATTTTTGAATATTATGTGTTGTAAGTAGTGGTCCAGGTGTCTAAAAAAATGGTAGTCAGTAGGCGAGAGGTCCGGAGAGTAGGGTGGGTGAGGCAAAGTTTCATAGCCAAGCTCCAATAATTTTTGTGACGTTACACGTGACACATGTGGTCGAGCGTTGTCATGCAACAAAATGGGCCCTTTCCGATTGACCAAAGAGGGCTTCATTACTGCCAATTTCTGATGCATGGTATTAATTTGGTTACAGTATGATTCAGCATTGATGGTTTCGCCAGGATTTAAGAAGCTGTAGTGTATTAAACCAAATGAAGCCCACCATACCGTAACCATTACCTTTTTTTGATGAGTTGGGGGCTTTGGAAAATGTATTGGAGCTTCTCCTTTGTCGAGCCACTGTCCAGAACGTCTAGTGTTATCGTAGAGAATCCACTTTTCGTCACATGTAACAATTCTGGCCAGAAATGGGTCATTTTTGTTTCGACAAAGAAGTGATGCACAAACATCAAAGCGCTGATTTTTTTGGCGATCGTTTAATGAGTGTGGAACCCAATTTTCGAGTTTTTTCACTTTTCCAATCGCCTTGAGGTGGTCAGCGACGGTCGTTTTACTGACTTTGAGTTGCTCTGCAAGTTCTCGAACAGTTGTTTTGGGGTTTTCTTCCACCACTGATCGCAGAACATCATCATTAAGAGAGGAAGGCCTTCCACGACCTTCTTCATCTTCAAGGCTGAAATCTCCCTCCCGAAATTTTTTAAACCACCTTTGCACAGTGCACTCATTAACACAACCCTCGCCCCAGACTTGGTTAATGTTTCTAGCCGTTTGGGCTCCGCTTCGGCCGAGTTTAAACTCGTAAAAGAAAATCGTACGAAATTCTCGCTTTGACATTATAAGGATGACTGAATTATTTCCAAGTAGCGGAATGCTACAGAGGTAAACAAACAATATCATTTGGAAGAGGATTAATAAGTGTTGACATTCATACAAATGAGTAATCCTGTAAACGTAAACAGAATATTTTATATAGATTTTTTTTAATGAAAACTTAAAATCCTGCATTATTTTCCGGACAACCCAATACTTGCAGTTTTATTTAAGAAACTCATTTGCTTTAGAAGACTTTATTATTTGCTTGTTGGGAAACTAGATTATATTATTGGTGTTGTTTTAAATAACTTTTTTACTAACATTTGAAAGCATGTTAATTTGTCAAAGAAAAAGTTGTTGTTTTTTCCCCTCTAACTTTAACCAAATGTTAGAATACTTTTGTAACATGTAAAGCACCAGTGGTCCCCTTGTAAACTCTCACACCAACGGCAGTCCCAGGAACAACTTGTGGTTGGGATCATATTCTGGCCGCCGTACCACTTTTCCCATGCATTCACACATGTTTTGCACTGTTCTGGCCTGGAAGAAAACCCCGAACTTGTTAGCCGATGAGATTTCTTTTCGGGCTTTTTTATTTATTTATTTTTTGTAAGCTAATTTTCTCAGCCGAGATACTTTTTTGTAATTACTATCAACTAGTCACGTGCATTTTCTATACCGTATTCCTAATTATTTCATGTAATACATTTTTGAAAAAATTGCCGCCTATTAATGGGGTCTTTTAGGGAAGGTATTAGTTTGAAAAAAAAATCAACAATGAAATATTTTTATTTTTATGTATAAAATGAACACCCAAGATAACTGAACCAGTCTTAAAAAAATTAAAAATATTGTCAATCCCTACAACATTTTGACATGAGCTGCTGAGGTGGGACTGCGCAGTGCCAGGGAGAACAAAATTTAAACAACTTTCTCTTCACACAGGTACCTAACGTTTTTTATAACATTGAGGAAAAGAAAAGATCAATGCTTTTGTTAATTTATACCTTAAGTATACAAAAAAAATCTTGGTTTGAGGGTGAGGTACGCAGGGATCCCATGGCGCTTTAGGTGTTAATAGACAAATAATATGTGTTTTTAGTAGTACATATGTATAGAAATGGATAAAATCAAATGTGCAAAATTAAATTTAGCCAATGCTTAAATCTGAAAATTTTTTAACTCGTAAATTTTATATACTTTTAAATTTAACTTGTATTTTTTTATAGAACTTAAAGATAACAAATTTTCTTTGCAGTATTACATTAATCTTCTTTTTGCAAGATTTTATCATCACTGAAATATAAGAAAATCCAACTTTCTTGAATTTTCAACAATGATTTTTTAAAAATATGTTACTATGTGAAACATTTTGTTCTTTAAACATCACAGTTTATAGCATCACAGATTTGTTGATTTTTTAAAAATTAACTTTGAAAAAGTTGCAAAGTACCTTTAGATGATGTTTTTATCTTGATTGTTAGATAAGCTTAGTAGGCTTGCTTTTTGCCGATAACCAATCTTTTTTTAATAATACGACCAATTGTTAGTTTTTTTAAGCACTGACTGACATTCCATATGCAATTTCATTCCTTGTCAATTTTAGTATTGTCAAACTACTTTTTTTTTACCAATCTTCCAGTCATTTTTGTTGTTGAATGTTTATTTAATATATTCTATTTATTTGTTTTGTATTTAGATATTTATATGAAGTGATAGTCATAAATCAAAAAACAATTTGTTAATAACTTTTTATATAGTTTATTGTTGTGATTTATTCTAAATAAAGAGAAATTTTGAGTGTGAATTTAAATTTTGTCCATTCCTCGAGGCAAAATCCATTTATCATTGCTAGCAGGCATGAACCTGAATGGCAAAAAAAAAAAAAAAATTTGGATCCTTGATTGTCTCAATAACTAGATTTGACTACTGAAGATGGCCAGATACGTCTGAAAGACAAAATAGGATACACATTAAAAACAAATTTAAGGAGAAAAAAAGATGTAAAACTGTTGGGAATGATTTTATTTGAAGAACCTGACAAAATAAATGAGCAATATTCATCACCTAGGCACTATTTTATTTTATTTTTTAAATCACAACTTTATTGCAAGGCTCACATGTGTTTATATTCACCGCCTTAAATTAACTAAAAGAGTAAGAGATCAATGAGAAAGGAACTCAACAGATCAAAAATGGTAGTTTATTCAACCTTCATACTTCGTTGGTTATCCTATCACAAAACTAAGTGAAAACATATTACGCATATTAAATTCAAAACTCAAAAAATGATACCAAATTGTCTCTTTTGAAAAATTTATGTATAACGCATTGCTTATCAACTGGTCTGTGCGGTTTTTCTAGATTATGGTGAATTACATTTGATTTTTTAATAAATTACAGAATTTAATAACTAATTGAATATAGCTAATTTACAATAATTAAATCCACCATCCATTTTTTTTTCACATTTCAACCTATAGTTCAAACTATTGAGCCAATGTGAGAAAATATTTTTTTTAAAGCTTTCAAGCACCCAACCCTGCACTCAATTATTTCAAATAATTTACATAAAAACTAATAAGTGAGTCTAAATAAAAGATAATTTATACAACAAATGAAAATTATGTTTGTTTCTTTATCTTTACCAAAATTATCAAAAAGATTGGTATTTGTACAAAAGGAGTTAGAAAACACAATAAAATATTGTAATAAAAAGAAAAAGTTGAATTTACAAAAACGAGTTGTTTCTAATTAAAAGTGAATTGTTTTAAAAACTTCATCTTAGACGAAATGTATTCTAACATTAAAAAATTGCACACAAATTTAAATATTGGATATGTTTTACTTAAATATTTAAATAAGTGGCACAAAAATTACAAAAAGAAAATAGTCTTAGATAAGATATATTGGTAAATAGATTGAACACAAAGTCTGCATTGAGCTCAGTGAGAATAAAGTCTCAGTGCAGAAGAAGTAGAAACAAATTATCACATTATAGTAATATATGGTATTTTTAAATACAACAGAAAAAAAACAAAAAACGTTAATTGCACTTGAGTAGACGGTACAGCTACGCTAAACCGTGTTGACGACAAAGTTTATGTTGAAAGTTGTCATCGGGTTCTCCAGAAGACGTCTTATGCTTTCCTCGAACTGATCCTTAATGAAGCTGAACTGCATAACGTCCTGAGGCTTTGCCTCGATCCAGAATCTGTCGAACTCGTAGAATAAGTAGCAGTAAAACTGATGGAACACCCTCATCGACGGCATCGACTTGGCAATGTTGTATATGTGCGTTTTAGCCGCTCCGTCTTTCAATATGTGGTATGCAAGACTGGTGAGGTTGATCCCTACTATGGCGAAGGCGTAGCCATACTTGGGGTGAAGGGAGTGTAACAAGACGTGCTTTGCAGCGTTGGAATATTCTTCGGCGAAGAACAGCAGGTTTTCCAGTCCGAGGAGGCCCATGCCTCTGAAGTCGGTCTTCGGATCGTCACCTTGGAAACCAATGTCTTGCCATTGTTTTGTTATCCTGGCTTCGAGAGGGGTCTCCGGGCAAAGGGCCGTCCAAAGCCGTTGCAGTTTCTCCTCGTGTTCTGGGCAAGACGAGTCGTATTGGGTGAGCCTGAGCTCTTCGACTTCCGCGTAGAGTTGTTTGTAGCCCCATATATGCTCCAAACACCTTGTAAATGATTTGACGAACTGCCTGTGCACGTCAGGGTTGATCTTCTTGACTATGATCACAGTCTTCACTGAACGTTCCAGGATCAGTTTCTGGTTACGACCCCCCAACTGCCTGTTCGCCGCTGAATCGTTCAGCACTTTGATCATGTTTTTGATGTGCTCGGACTTGGATGAGAAGAGGGAGAATTCGACGGCCGACGACCTCGGACAGCCGACCTGCTTGCCGTAGCATATCCTCTGCAGCTCGCATAGTTTCGTCGTCTTCCGGAGCACCCACTTGATCAACGAGCGGATGTGCCAGTAGAAAACGAAGTACAAACCGCTCAGGTTGAACATCTTCTACGTCCGACTGGTAGGCACTGGCATCTTTTATGCTCCCACGTCCATCGCCACACGGTTTCCCTGTCAGAAAATTCGTACTTTCAATAATGAACTGTGTACATTCGGTAGTTTACACCGAACGGTACGAGCTTCCTTTTCGAAGGAGGAGATTTGACTGTTATCCACTAAGTGCGTGTCCTCACGTAATGTCGTACATTACGTAACAGTGAAATCCTTTAAAATTCCCCTTGAACATATTCCTAATTCTATTAACTAGTCTACAAAGTATAATCCAAAGACAATTTCTATAAATTTCCAAATATTATGTTATTCAAATATTGTAAATGTTCTCTCATTTTATTAAAAGATAATTTTATAATCTTCTGATTGAGTTGTCAAGAATGAGGTAGTTTAGAAAAACACCTTTTTCATTTTTTTGCCGATGTTTCGACCTTTATTCGGGTCATCTTCAGAGTGTTAAGATTGTGCTATTCTTGTAGCGTCAAATTGATTTTGAGTGAAAGTGTTGACTTATTTATTACTTTTGTTGGTTCATGTTAGCAAACATTTCCATGTGGGTTTTTTAACAAAAAAATTAAGTAAATTACTTATTCACATTTATTTTGGTTGTTACAGGAATTTGCCATCATCATCTTATAATTCAATTAGTTTTATAATTTACTAATATCCATATTGCATTTCAAACAGGATGTCCTGAACGATGATAATGACATCCACTGCTGCCATGGAAGTCCTGAATATACCGTGACTACAAATCTTAATCCAATGGTAGGTCACAATTCCTGTTTGACCTATTACCCGACCTATACCCGACCTGACCTGTCGGGACAGGCTCCAATAGCCTATTTGCATAACTAGGTACAACTAAAGCTTCAGGGGAGCTTTAGGCAGATGGGGTTCTGGGGATGCCTGTTGATGCAATGTCCCCTAAATTCAGATTTGAGAAAAAATTCAAAAGCAGACTGGTAAAAAGGGAATCAACCATATCTGGCATTAGATGGCTCCAAAATTCAATATGAGTCAGGAGCTAGTATTTACAGAAATAAACCAACTGGAATTCATATAAGGCTTGGGCGATATACCACTGTCTTATAAGTTGAGAATTCGTGAGAAGCGGTCAAGAATGAGGAAGTTTAGAAAAACACCTTCTTCATCGCTCCTCTCTAATCCAACAAATTATTAAACCACCAGCCACTAAAAAAAACAAAAACAAAAAACACTAATCCTAATCCTAATACCAACAGAAATATATAAATAAAAATGAATAAAATACTTTAATAAAACAAAATTAAATTAAAGTTTACATAATGTGTGTACTCTGTAGTATATTTATAATTAATGTATATACAAGCGATGCCATTCTTCAGACAGTTTTTTTAATCTTTTTTTCTTTTTCAACAATCAATTCAATAAACTCTTTTCAGAAATTCCTCTACAGTATTGAACAACTTTAACACGGTACCCCACCTGAAATTGGAAACATTTTTCATATAGATGTACACTAACATACCAAATATTAAAATAAATAAATTAAATACTCATAAAACTGAGCTGCAATAGATTCGTAATCATTAACATCACTTAGGATCACAATGCGAGATTTAGTAAAATCAAATAGAGAGGTCAGATACTTTTCAGCCACTATGATAATATCGTTTTTTGTCACATCCATTATATCATTGATCAACTTCCTGGAAAAATGTATAAAATATGTTGTCCAAGTTTGTTTTATTATCAGTATGAGTACTTTTTGTAATCCACAGGCCTGCCGGTCAAATAGCTGACAATAGAATCTAAGCTGACCTCTTTAATATCGCTTTCTGGGCTTATCTTTCGTACGACGGCAAAGTTTATAGCATCCACTACCAAGTCCTCTGACCAAGGATAATCACGTTTTGCACACTCTTCCTTAAAATGCCAAAGACAATGATTTAATCACGTTTATACACTTTTTTATAATTTATTTATTTTTTTAATGGCCTTATGAACTTGCATATTAGCCAGAGTATGATTGTGTTGATTGTTTCATCATACACTGAGAGGCAAAAAAAGTGGCCATTTTTTATGGTACATGTAATTTTGCCTTACAACATTCTGAAATGGAGTAATGTACACAGGCCTAAACCATATTTTGATATGTTACTTACACAGGTTTTTTTACAAAATTTGAGAACTTCAGCAATACTGTTGACATTGTTCAATAAGAAATATATTTTTCCATGCTCAGGACATGCCTCAATTTCCAATGTCCCTCCATATTCCAAGATTGTATTATAAAACGGTCCCTGCAATAACAAAATGAAAACAAAATTTAACAATTTTTTAAATTTCTCTTTTACCTCAGGCTGCATAAGGTATTCAAGGCAAACAATCAAGGCTGGCAAATCGTTGCATGTGAAATCTGAAAAGCAGGGTGAACACAGACAAGCAAATGTTGTTCCTTTCCCTTCTAATACAACACACGAATCATAAAGATTCTCTTTAAGGAGTGTCAATTCATGATTCAATTTACACCTAAAATGATAACTTTTTGAAATTTTGAAAAGGTTCATAATCGGATAATCCGTACAAATATTTATTTGCGTTGATGTTGTTTGGAAGGAAGTTCTGCCAGACTCCTGCCGGGTCGAGGTAATTTGTTGCAAGCATTTCCATGTTGACAACCATGTGTAAGCGAATTGAGTCATCCAGGAAGGCCTGTTTTACGGTTTCCAGCTCTGTAATTATGTCTTCAGGGGTTTCGTCCAAAAATGACAATGTCTCGAATAGAAACTTAACTTGTAAGTTTGTATTTGAGGCCCAGTAGTTGCTGTCTGTTGGAAAATGGTAGACTAGTTTTTGTTCCATGTGTTGAATATTCAGACTCACTTCTTTCATGCGTCATCCCATTCATCAACTGCAATACGATGTCTCTACTGTTGTTTAATTTTGCAACTGCCTCTTCTAGTAGATAATTAACAACTGTTTTGAGGCGGTCAGCAGTAAAGAAAGTGTTAAACAGTGTGTCCTTCAACCACATTATTCCTTTGTAGTATTTTTCAAAATCTACCTGTAATTTAAAAACATAATGACATTTTTTAAAACAACTCCCAAAAAATATTGTATTTGGTCTAGTGTATAAAAATTACCGTAACAGAGACGCAAGCAAAATGCGAGGGATATCCACAAGAAAAAAACCCAGAAGGCTTGCAGCCCAGTGAACATGTTAGCGAGATAAGATCTTCCTGTCTTTCTTGAAAAATTTGTTCTAGGGGAATAGCCGTTCCATTTCTCATTATTGCGGACTGGATCAAACTTTCCAACAAAAGTGGCAAATAAGCACGCATTCCCAGCTCAAGTTTTCTCGTGTCAATCAGAGCATAAATCTACAATGTACCGCTGCTACTAATATTGTCAAAAGATACATGATTAAACCTGCATTTTACAGTTATGAAATGTGTGTAAATATCCGTGATTTGCATGTTGAGGGGGACTTTATCAAAGTTGAACCTTGGGTGTGTCTTTTCTTCTAAACCGTAATGGTTCAAAGGATAATAATTTTCTGGCTTCTGCCATGTCTTGAGGCTATTGAAGATTTCTCTTGGTATTTTTACCTATGAGTAAATTAATAGTGTTATTTAAGTTAATAATATGGATAATAATAAATCATAAATTTATTACATTATAAAGTAATCTTTTTAATAAAATGTAAAATATGAATATCATTGTTATAATGTATTTTTTATTCAAAATATAGTGCTGATGATGGGTATAAATTCCCAAAACATCCAAAAAAATGTAAATAAGTAAAGTATTTATTGTTTTATATAGTAAAATCACATGAAATATTTTCTAACATAAAGTAATCAATTTAAATTAAATTAAAAGATAATGCTCACATTGTTGTCCTCAGCTGCAGCAATGAAATATCTTTTAAATCTAACAAGTCCATCTAGTCCTTGTTTCTTTACTCTGTCTTTTATTGAATCAACTTTTATGTTTGTTTGTTTTATCACCTCGGAATAACTTGGTTGTGCCACAATACAAACGCACTTTCTCAGAACGAAAAATTTGTTTAGCAAAGTAATCCAGAATTTCATTGGTAATTTAATTATATGTTCCAGGAGGGGTAAGAAATCAACTCTCACTTTAAACTAAAAAAGAATAAGTGTTGAACCATTTTTATTTAAAAGCGTTGTTAAGAACCTACATCATATTCATTTTTGCCGTAAATCTGGTAATTGATCATAGTGGAAACAAAGAAATCCAGAGACTTTTTTTCAAGCGCTATAATTGTTTCTTTTCTAATGGTCTTTAAAGTAGCCCCAATCGGTGTAAAAGCTTCTGGTGTTTTAGTTAATGATTTTAGTATATCTACCACTTTATCTTTTACACGGTTCATATATGATTTTGGCACACCACTGAAAGTGATGGCGACAAGAGAGTCTATATACATTTCCACCCGGTAAGTAATCTGAAAATTTGACTTCTGAAAAACTGGTTTTTATGGAAGGATTGTTTCACATACTGAAGTAGCCCATGGTTTGGAAATTTTCAAAAATTCTTGAACAAGGGGGCTATCATTAGATTCTGTCAAGAACCTAAACATCATATCACAAGCAAGAATCCTAGCAAAGAAAAAGATCAAGTGATTTATTCTTTTGTAAAAAATAAAAATTTTAAAGTAAACTTACTTTGGATAATCACGGACAATATTAGGCCCCCGCCATGCCATGGTGATTGTCGCTGTAACATCTTCACTTGAAGGATATTTAACATAACTCATAAAATGGTCTTCAAGAGGTAAAGGGGGAATTGCAGATTGCCACGGCCTGTGAAAATGACTTCTGTGACCCTAAAATGTAAAAGGAAGACATTTAAAAATACAACATTTCTGTGTTAATTATAAATTTTAAAAAAATTCATTAATTTAGATAAATAGGGTTTGGAATAATGAAATCTTTAAATAATAATGTTAGTCGCAACATTTCCAAAGTATTTCTCCATAAATAATATTCATATAATTTGTGTAATTTGTACCTTGTTAATAATTTTTCTCTCTACAGATTCCAAACAGTTTAGCACTTTTTGCAATTGAGAACCAACAACAATAATAAAACAATTTTCCGGCCTGTACGATTTACTGTGAAATCTTCTTACCTGAAAAGGTCAAGGGATAAAATGTAATCATAACAAAAAAATATATAAATTACTTTCTCGTTGGATGCGCTTGTTCGTATGTTCTGCATTTTGCCATAAGGAGAAAAACGGTAGTCGGTGTTGGCATAGACCAAATTCATCACCTCCCTCAGGATGATCTCATTTTTGGAAGACTCCAAGGCATCCAGACTTTGTGCGACATGTCCCGCATCCCTCCCATATTCATCAATGTGATAGATGTCTGTGATATAATTAGTTTTCTGTTGGATAGAACGATAATAAAATGTTATTTAAAATCAGAAATATATTTAAAAATCCAGTACTTTTAGTGTTGGAAATAACAGATGGTCCATAAAAATTGGTAGCATGTTAAAGAAACCACATTCTGATGCTGATGTGTATGTGTAGCATGTGTAGTTGACAGCTAAAATAAAAATAAATTAAAAAATTAGACAAAAGATTTTTATACAAATATTTTTCTTACAAGAAGTAAGATCACCATCACTAGGCACAAAAACTATATAACTTGTCCTTGACCACTATTATTCTTGCTAGTTTTGTTAGGTTATTTGGCATGTCATCATCTTGAATAATTGGTCTGATTTAATGTATACTTTTTATAATAATTATAAGTTTGTAAAATGTGAAGAGGCATAAGGCAAGATGAAACATATCAACCACTCAAGATGATGCTAAACCATATCTAGCAGACAAAATCACCAAGAATACACATATTGGAATGATCAGGAGAGATCAGTGAGGGATGAGACTTCACAATATTTTAATCTATCATCCCAAAACGCAATTTGGAGCTGTGAGATGCGCACAAATACAGTACAAGCTCAAATCTGCATGTATTCACATACTTCCCGCAGTACACTGGCAATTCCAACTTTTGTAATTTACCATAAATTACCAGCAGACCTTGAGAGTTGGGTGTTGGCAGTGCAGGGTAAGACTTCGATCTTATCCATCCAGCTTGAGTTTGGTCTCCAGGAGCTTTTCCTACTAACAGTTAGGTCATTTCAACCCCCAACTTAATCTCTCATTCACACACTTACTCACTCTTAAATAAATCCTTTCCTATTTACATACCATTCACTCAGTTAGGATGGTGGACTTCTCCAAATTCCTCTGTCACCCATTTTACCTATTATATAACTAACCTAATTGAAGGTCGATGTGGCATTTAATATTTCTCCATTGACCTCCAGTGCACATTCATGCTGATAAATTCATTCACTCTGAACACACACTAGGGTGAAAGAGCGAGAACAGGTGGATCAAAGACAATACTAGCTCGAGACTTTTATACTAGATTAGCTCCATCACCGTTTACATGTATTATATAACTAACCTAATTGAAGTACAATGGGGTATTCAATATTCTGCCATCTACCCTCTCACATCACCCATTCACGCTAATAAATACATTCACTCCCAACACATGCTCGAGACATAAAACTAGCAGTTCTCAATTTATTAGTTTATGACAAGGCTTTAATAAATCTAGTATAATAAAGTTGGCGATTAATAAAAATTTAAAAAAAAATTAATTTATATAGTCATATTCTATTTAATATTATAGAAACATATGTTAAAATGTGAAATTTTCAGTTAGTGTTAAATTTTACCTGTCCATGAATTGAAGGCCGTAACATGACAATTTTTGGCAATATTATTAATGACATGTCTATATGGATAATCTTCGCTTCCTAGGAACACTAAGTTCCTTACAATTTCTGGTAAGCCGTCATCACCTAAGCTTTCAGTAGCTAAAAAAAAAATACCTTAATTGATGTCAAGGCAAGAAAACAAGAGTACTCACCAAAAGACACATAAGCAGAAACCATGGGACCGACCATCTCACTGACGACCACCGTCAGGCCAGTCTTGGTGGACCGGTAGACATTGACAGGAAGAGAGCAGTTGAAATAATTGGACAAGATCAATTTGAAATTTTTCACTTGCTTAGGGGGCAAGGGCTTATAGTTGATCCTGCACGTGCTTTTCTTCCGCTTGGAAACAGCGGTCAGCTTTTCCGTTAATTCATACTCATCCGCTGAGTCCTCCTGTTGAGAACATTCCTGCTGGTTGAGTTGCTTGTAACTCATCGAACTATTATCCTGGAACATCATGCTTATATGATTTTTTCATTTACACCATTTGTGATTCCAGAGAATTGAAAGTTTCTTTTCAGTGGGAAGAAGATGGCTGAAACGCCTGGTGTGTCAACAAAAATTTACTCAAATTTTTTTAAAAACGCAAAAGAAAGTGTTTCAAACAAGTATTGTTCACATGTGGCAACAAAATTCAAATAAAAATGTTTAAAATCTGACATATTTATCACTAAAATAGTTAATAAATGTAAATCTATGTTTTAAGACTTTTTTGTAATTCCACCACGAGAAAATTTATTTTTAAAAGTTCAAACAATAGCTAAGCTTTTGTTAAAGGTTGTATGTTATAAATAGAAGTATTTTTCAAAAGAGGAATGATGTAATGTAAAATTTATTCTGTAAAATAATAATTAAAAAAGAAAAAGATCTGACTTTATTTATCTAATAAATAAGGAGTAATTGTAACACAGAAATTGGCTTGTTACTGGAATCAGCCTTTTTTTTAATTGTAATGATAGACATGTGCTTATTGGTCAAGGATTGCAGACCAACAATCACCACCAACTTTAATGTTGCATGTTGCAAAGTAATATGTAAATAGCAGTTTTTAAAATTATTTGTGCTGTTTTAGACAAATATGGTTTAATGAACAAAAAGTATTATTTTTTACAATGAAATTATTAAAAAAAAAAAAATGTTTGAAAGAAACATGAAAAGGAATGAATGGTAAAATATGTGTTTTGCAAAAATGTAATGCAAATGTTCAATTATATGAATATTTCTATGGTGTGGCAGGTATTTACTGTTAATTAAATCAATTTGATTTACTGATTGCTGATTTATATCTATACTATCTTATCTATCATAAATGTATATCTATATAATCATATATAACTATATCTTTCTTATCTACAAATCTGCACATGCATGTACATACATTCATAAATGTACAGAGTTGAACCTAACACTTCTAGGAGTCTGCAAGCAATTCAGCTTTGTAATTTACATTAATTTATTGGCAGTTCTCAAAATTACCCCATACTGGGACCAGACCTTGGTCTTATCCATCCTGCAGGTTCGGCTCCAGGGGCTACCAACAGCTAGGCCATTTCAACTCCCAACAGAATCAGCCTCCAAATCCAAACACATTCACACTCTCATCACTCTTGAACACATTCTTTCTTATTTACATGCCATTCACTCTCTTGGGGGTGTTGGAGTATTTGACATTCCTCCATCACCCTCCACATAACTAACCTATGCAAATGGTTCCGCCATAGGCCCTCTCACACTATTTGCTCTCACATTCATGTTAATAATCAATTAACTCAGTCTCACTAATAATAATAATAATGATTAATAATTCAGTCTCAACAAAAATAAAGAAACATTAGATAAAATATCTATAAAGTACTATGTACAGTAAAACAGTCTGTTTTCACTAACAATGTGAACAAGGACCCTGCCTTCCCCAAGGACAATTCTCATATCGGGTGTCATTCCTACACGCTCTCTATATAGAGCCAAAGAGTTTCCGGCACCCTTCAATTAAGCGGTACCCACTGAGCAACCTTTCTCTACATGCTAGCCATGTACATGCAGGCTTTGGCCCAAAAGTAAATGTCCATGTGTCAACCTTGATGGACTTCTTAATCGGGTGAGGATGTCCTTTCTTCTAAGAATCAAATACTCCAAGGGCTACCTATTGACAGGGCTCTGATGAAAAAAAAATCATAATCCAAATGATTTTAATAATTAAAGGCTATTAGTCACATAAAAAAATCTAATTTATTGTCCTGTCTAATCTTTACATTTTTGTTTTGAAAAATTATGTTAATAGGAAAGATAATAGTGGAATGAGTGTGTTGTTCAATCTTTTTTACACACACTATGAGTAGAAATTATATTAATGTTGTAATTATGTTTATATTGGAATAGGATATGAAAAATATTTCCATATTTAATAGTAAATGTACTGCTCATGCCGAGGTGCACGCCTCATGTCAAGATTGTCAGAAAACAAATTTTTTTACAAAAGTTTTTTTTCTTAACTAGATATTTTCTAATAGGTTTTCGAAAACAATCGCACTGTAGTTTGGACTTTGTCCAATACAAGCTTTAAAAAGTTGTTCCTTTTATTTATAGCTTTTTTTTAAATATTAGGATGACTGTGAAGTCACAAAGTTGACGTGTCAGAACATTGAATTGTAAAGGGATAGATTGGTGACAACTGACAACAGACACTGAATCTGACAACGACCGGTTGGGCGTTGTTACTTGTTTACGGAGTGTACGGTACGGTTATATGCGAGGCCCACTTATTATTTTCCATCTGGGTTCTCAACCTCCTGGAATATGGCAGAATTATGTGGCGAGGGAGAAAATAAGAAGCAAGAAACGGACGTCAATTTGATCGTAAGAGAAAGCTAAATAATCCATATATAATCATAATTTACCCATTATGTAATATAAGCAGTATTAAAATAATTGTCACTGAAAGTGTCAAGGTTTAGCAAGAAAACCATTGACGTTGTCTAATATTTTCTACCTTTTTTCCCATCCAAATATAGGATTGCTTATTGAATCATATGGAGATTAGTGTTTCGGAATCAGAGAAGCGTGCTACATCTGCGTTAAATATCAGGGAGTGCTATATCGTATACCTAATCAAGACGAGGTAGATTATTTTAAGAAAAAGAGTATATTGGTTTTCTAATTTTAATTTTCAACAGGATTACACAGAATGGCTGGAACCTTACTGAGCATGGCCTAGGACAGATATGGAGAAGGTATTCTGAGTTTGAACAGCTTCGATATTATCTGTCCAACACATACCCTTGGGCTGTGATCCCACCTCTTCCTGAGAAGAAGCATTCCTTTCCTGTTCATACGCTGCCAACCGACTCTTTCAATCCAGACTTCATCGATCGAAGGCGTGTCGGCTTGGAGGTACTTATAAGGTATGTTTTTTAAACACCGTTCTATTCACATAAATATTATTCTTTTTAGAATTTTCTTCACCGTGTTGCACAACACCCGACGATCTCGAGAGACCCCATGTTCCTGATATTTCTCCAGCAAGAAGAAGGCTGGAAAAATAGCATGAAAGACATAGGTATTGAAACGTTCAGCATGCCAACCTTTTATAGACCTATAGGCAATAGTTATCTTAATAGTTTAAAATACAGTCATACCCTGCTTAATGTGTGTACTATGTTCCTCGGCAATTACCATAAAACAAAATCAAAGCGTTTTTTTCCTTTTGTTTTAACTGACCAATTCTGGCTGAAGGTCGTGGGTTCGAATCCTGCCTGTGACACAAATTTTTCATTTCGATTTAATTGAATACATGCATAATTAAGAATAACAATAAAAATGTGTGGTGTTTAGTGACCGTTACTTGATGATTTTTTGGAGGTCATGAGATGCTATCTGGTGTGATGTAGGTTTAGAAAAACATTTGCTTTATCGTGCCAAAATTTCGATCTTTATCGAGATCATCAGCCCTGAAGATGATCTCAATAAAGATTGAAACGTTGGCACGATAAACAAAATGTTTTTCTAAAACCTACTTCACACTAGACTGCATCTTACGACCTCCAAATAATTAATAAAAAAATAATAAAAGTTGGTATTAACCTAGAATCACACCTGTGGATCATACATCCTGCTAATGTAGTACAATCGTTAAGAAAATGTGTTTCTAAATTAAGCCGTGATGTGCTTACAACAATAAACGGGGAGTTGAAATGATAAGTTTGTGGCATGGGTGATTGAAGTAATGGTACGAATCCTGCCTGTGACAGAAATTGTTTATTTAAAAAAAAAATTATGTATAATTAATTGAATACAAAACATTTAGCTCTAACTATCTTGTATTATAAGTTTAAAAAACAAACTAAGATTTATTTATTTAATTTTTTTATAGTAAACATACTTTTTTTTACGTATAAGATTCATTGAAATATAGATTATGTGCATATTATATTTATTTTAATTTTAAAAAAATACATAAACCTGAATGAGCACCCTTAATAAAGGCAAAAACACTTATTTCTTGTGTGTTTAGAGGGGTTTCACTATAACACATTATTTTTGATGTAGACATTTATTTGTTTTATGTGAAAGTAAGAATGCTCATTTTTGCATCAGTATCTAGATTTCCATTTTATCTTTCTAATACTTTTATAACAAATATATTATTACAAATAAAAACAACAGGTGAACTATATTGCCAGGATACATGCGGCTGGCCGAGGAAAAAATCAAAACGCTCAACGCTATAGTCAGGACTAAAGAAGTCGACCCTGACTTTGAACAAATAAGGCGCTACAGCGATGGAATTCAAGTGAGTAGCGATTTTTAACAAATCTGATTCCATTGTAAAATTCTTGGTCTAGGGAGTGTTGAGCAGTGTGCTGAGAATCCGCTCAAGGGCTGCGTTAAAACGGTTCAACATTTACAAGTGGCATGCCGGCTACGGTAAAGTATTCAGCGAATGGAGCGCTATCGAAAAAGAGATGGGCGATGGCTTGCAAGTAAGAAATTACAAATTAAAAGTACACAGATACATTTACTTTTAATTTTCTTACCTGTTAGCAAGCTGGACATTATTTCGACTCAGTAGCATCTGGAAGTGAGTCATTTTTAGAAGATGAAGAACTCATAATGGACCAATTAAAAGAGTCAGTCATTGCCATTTTTAGATTGTTTAATTAAATTTAACACATTTCAAATATTATAGGTACCTGCTTTTTGCTTCATCACTCGGTGACGTGTGTAACAAAAGAGCAATGTTACAGTTAGAAATAGAAAAGTTGCATGATCTGATTAAAGCCAAGACTTCAGAAAAAGAAAAGATTACTCAAGGTATTTCTATTAAAATCCTTTATATACAAAAAAAAAGTAAAATAATTTAACATTATTTAAAGGAAAATATGGAATGCTATCTCGTCTTCTTGGTTCACCTGAAAAAGAAGATAAAGACCGCAAAATAGCACAAATTGATCAGAAAATTGCAGCAACCCAGGAGAAAATCGCACAATCTGAAAGAGCTTTAGAGTAATTCAACATAAGATTTATTAAATTCTATAGAGACATTTTTTAAATAAATATATAATAATAAATACTTCTTTTAAAGTGAATTCAAGCAAAAAGCACTTTCTGACTTTGAAAACTTTAAAAAGACAAAGGAAAAAGATCTGAAGGATACGCTAGAAGTGTATATTAAACATGAAATCAAAATGGCCAAGAAGGTAATGATTGACAGTACAAAACTTGAATGATGTATTTAAGGAATGGTTTTCTTTTACAGGGAATGCAAGCTTGGAAAAATATACAAAACTGCATCGATAGTATTTCGACATCATAACATAAATGTTTGGACTTATGGATGATAAATTTTGTACAAATGTAATATAACGGTGCCAACTTGTTTAATATTATGAACTATTTATTTATCAACAATTTTCATACACTTATAAAATGTTTTGTTGTTTTGCTTTAAAAATTCCAACATAAATGTATATATGACTATTTTTTATGCGAATAAAATATAATGTGATATTGATTCTCAAATTTAATTATATGTCTATATTTGATTTTTTAAATTGTATTCCCTTACATGAAATGTGAAAAATAAAAATAACAATATTTGGAAAGGGTGAAAGAGTAAAATATTCTCGTTTAAGGCTATTTAAAGGATAAAAGAGACTAGGGCATCTGACTTGTAATTACCATGCTACCAGTTCTGGGTTTGAATCTTGGCAGAGCCCAGGGCTTTCTAATTGATAATGGTATAGAAAATGGTAAAATGGTTTGATACCTCGTTTGGGTCAGGTAACGGGTATTTGGACTACATTCAGTATGACCAAGATTGTTTATGAATAATAGCATTTAAGGGTTGTTCTCTTTCCTAAGGCCCAACAATTTAAGAAAACACATTTCAAGAAATCATTTTGGCCATAGCCGATTTAGTCTGAGTTGTGGTATAAGTACAGTTTGGCGTAGGCGAGATACCAAGAGACCCCAGCTCTGAAGATGGCTGAAATGTTCTGAGAGAACAAACCAGTGAAGATGGCAGACCAAAATGATCAGAAACGATTTAACAAATCGCAGAACCCATGAATAAACCTTGCACTTAAGGAAAAATCACCTGCACCAAAATTAGTCTTCAATTAACAAAACGATTGTCTCTATAAACAAAAGTTTAGTACTTATTTTAGTGATATTTTTGTTTTTGATATTATATTTAATACTGTGTACTCCATTGTTTTTATGTGCCTTTTCTTCTTTTTCCCAAGTCATAACTGGAACAAATAGTTTATAGCATTTTAAAAAAATTATAAATATTTTTAATCCATACATGTTTAATAGTCATAATTAACCATATTATTTTTCATGGACTTGCTTTTATGACGGCTATGTATATGAATTAATATGTTTAATAAAGTTATGGAATAATTAAGTTATAAAAAAGTATGTACTACCAAGTTCACAGCAACTTCATTATTCTTCACTCTCTATAAAAATTAACAATTTGTAATAATTTTTAATGTGTTTAACTGTATGATAAGGAGTAATAGTAATTCCAATTAATTATTATTTTTATCTAAGATTTTTGGTTGAGATGAAAATTAGTGACACTAGTGGGATTCGAACCCATGACCTTCGGCTCAATACGCCGCTGCTCTAACCACTTCGATCCCCTCAGACACCAACTCCCCATGGCCACTTCATAAGTTGCTGAGACTCAAATCCTGATTACACATTTGAAAATATAGCAGAAAGATAGAAGTCACGATAGCTCAACTGGTTAGAGCAGCGAATTGATACTGCTAATTAAATTTTATGTGCCTTACTGAGAGGAGGACAAAATACAAAATACAACATTGTAAACTACTCTTCATTATATTGACTATAAAAATTAACAATTTATAATAAATAATAATTTTTTAAAGTAGGCCGTTTGATGAGGAAATATTAATGTTTTTGTAAACATTTATTAATGAAATGTTAAGCCCTGTAGAGAATAGGTCAAGGCTATGATATCTGCAACATAGTCATCAATATTCATCAGTACATAAATTATGTGATAGCCTGTAGTTTATTCAAACTGTGCTTATTCATTCCTCAACAGTAATTGATTTTGCTAAAATGTTTGTTGTCATTATTTGTACAAAACTTGGCCCTTCGAGTTATTGAACTGTGAGAACTTTGACCATAACATTAGTCACTTAATGGATTTTTAATAGATGGGTATACCCTATGATGTTGCTCTATTTGCTTGTTTGGTTTTTTTCTCTAGATAATTTCTGAAATTGAATATTTTTCAATTTGACTGAATGTTTTGTTAGGTTTTGAGTCATATAAATTAAAAAGGAAAACCTTTTTCGCTTTGTAGGTACAAGATTTCTTAGAAATGATCCTTTCTTTCTTGTATAATTTTTGGTGTGTCCAATGAATTTTTTCCAATGTTTTTCGCGTTGTCGCAATGGGAAAAGAATGGCAGAAGAGGAAGTTTGACGACAAATCGTTATTGATTGTTTGCAGATGGTCAACAAATTGTTCGTCCGTCGAAGGGTCGTTGATTTGGCCCAAGGCTTGAAATGGAGATGCGTATAATTGGCGAGTCTGTACGAAACCGCCCATTAAAGACTCACGAGGGCCTCCGTGTCTATTTCAGCCGTTGAGACAAATGACGCAGTTGAATTAATGTTTGATTACCAGTCGATATTGTTTTGTAACGTCCGGTTAACGCGCATGTAGCCATCGATTTCATTTCTTGCTTGACAAATGTCCAGTGTCCTCTCAGCATAAGTGCATGTTTTACGAACCGGCCGCTCTGAAAACCGATCGATAATTTGCCCAGGTAGAAATATTATGGAAACTACTTGTTAAAGCGCACCTTAGTTGTTAGTAAAAATGTGAAAACAACAACATATAATTGATGATCACAACAATTTATTATTTATGAGCATCCTCCATTTTGTAATTTTTATTTCAAAGCCAATATTTTGTAATTATTATTTCAATTTTAGCCTAAACTTTAAGGTTTTAATTTTCATCATTAATATTTTTTTAATTATGGCATTTTATTATCCTTTGCACCAGATTAAGGATGATAAATTATTTGTACTAATTTATGTTAGTTCGGGAACAATCGAACAACCCCATTCTTCAGGATTCACTAGTCAAGATCATGGTACACATTTTTCAAAAAAATTATTTAAATATATTATATATAAGACGGATTATCCTTAGAATCAGGGGAAATTAATTAAATTTCAACATGTCAGACAGATGTTCAAGAACTTATAGGAAGTTAATGACACTTTTGAGAAGGAACAAGTATGTATTAATCACTAAACTAAATCTGTTTCTGTTGACAAATCTCTAATGAACTATATTATTCACATTCCATTACCTACAACGAAGGTCCAATAATTTTGAAATATTTTCTACTTGTGAAAATAAAATATGTTGGCGTATATGGATACGGATCGCCGGGCTGTTCTCTTGTTCTCTGTTCGTTATAAACTTTGTTAAAAAAAAAAAGTAATACGAAATTGTCATGATTACATTTTAAAACTTTATTCGTATAAAACTAAATTGTCAAGGTTACATTTTAAAATTCTATTCGTATTAAACGAAATTGTCGTGGCTACGTTTTAATTACGCCTTAAAGTCAAATAAAATTGTCATGGTTACGTTTTAAAATTTCATTCGTATCAAACGAAATTGTCATGGTTACATTTTAAAATTCTATTCGTATGAAACGAAATTGTCGTGGTTACGTTTTAATGCCTTAAAGTCAAATAAAATTGTCCTGGTTACGTTTTAAAATTTCATTCGTATCAAACGAAATTGTCATGGTTACATTTTAAAATTTTATTCGTATTAACGAAATTGTCGTGGTTACGTTATAAATTTTGTTAAACTCATACGAAGTTGTCATGATTACATTTTAAAATTTTATTCGTATCAAACGAAATTGTCGTGGTTACATTTTAAAATTTTATTCATATCAAACGAAATTGTCATAGTTTCATTATGAAATTTTATTCATACGAAACGAAATTGTCGTGGTTACGTTTAAAGCCTTAAAGTCAAACGAAATTGTCGTAGTTACGTTTTAAAATTGCATTCGTATCAAACGAAATTGTCGTGGTTACGTTTTAAAGCCTTACAGTTAAACGAAATTGTCGTAGTTACGTTTTAAAATTTTATTCGTATCAAACGAAATTGTCATGGTTACATTTTAAAATTTTATTCGTATCAAACGAAATTGTCATGGTTACGTTTTAAAGCCTTAAAGTCAAACGAAATTGTCGTGATTCCGTTATAAACTTGGTTAAAGTCAAATAAAATTTGCATGGTTACATTTTAAAATTTCATTCGTATCAAACGAAATTGTCATGGTTACTTCTTAAAATTTTATTCGTATCAAACGAAATTGTCGTGGTTACATTTTAAAATTTTATTCATACCAAACGAAATTGTCGTAGTTACGTTTTAAAATTGCATTCGTATCAAACGAAATTGTCGTGGTTACGTTTTAAAGCCTTAAAGTTAAACGAAATTGTCGTAGTTACGTTTTAAAATTTTATTCGTATCAAACGAAATTGTCGTGGTTACATTTTAAAATTTTATTCATATCAAACGAAATTGTCATAGTTTCATTATAAAATTTGATTCATACCAAACGAAATTGTCGTGGTTACGTTTTAAAGCCTTAAAGTCAAACGAAATTGTCATAGTTACGTTTTAAAATTTCATTCGTATCAAACGAAATTGTCGCGGTTACATTAAAATCTTTGTAAAGCCAAACGAAATTGTCGTGGTTGTTATAAACTTTGTTATAACCAAACAAAATTGTTTCGTAACGATTTATAAAAAAACGTTAAAGCCAAACAAAATTTTCGTGGTTCGTTTCAAAATTTCATTCGTATCAAACGAAATTGCCGCGGTTACTTTTAAAATTTTATTCATATGAAACAAATTGTTGTGGTTACGTTATAAACTTTGTTAAAATCAAGGAAATCGTCCTGGTTACGCTTTATAAAAACGTTAAAGCAAACAAAATTTTCGTGGTTACGTTTTAAAGTTTTGTTCAAACCAAACAAAATTATATTAATTAGTTCATTTAATTAAACCAAAAGGTAATTTAACTAAACCCGAATTTGTAAACATAATGATGAAATTAACTTTATTACTTTATGTGGTTTAGGTGGATTAATATAGCGAAAACAATAGCAACAAAGGACAGGTGGTAATGCGTTGTATTTTTTGTTTTTCAGTAACAAACAATTAAGGTCAATATAAAAATATTGTTATTTATTTACCCCTTAGATAATGATCAAAGAATAATTTTGTCTGATTCGTTTTTTTCCGTTATCGTGACTATCCGTGGCTAATTTTACCGACTGGGCATTGATCTTAATCAATTATCAATCAATTTATTTTAAAAAAACTTGAAACACGTTT